TAACAATTTGTACATATGCAATCGAATTGTATACTGTAATGCTACAGTATGCTACTGTACAAAAAATGTGTATTGTATTATTATTGATCAATCAATTGGCGCTATTTTTTGCTCAATTTATTTATTTATTTATTTATTCTTCATGAAAATAACATAACAAATACATCTATGCATATTCTATTCTTTATTTTCAATAAAAAAAAAGCTGAAAAAGTGAAAAAAGAATTCTTCGAATTGTTCTCTTCTCTTCTCCTCTGTTACACATTGAGAAGCGCAAACTGTACAACACCTGTGGATGCTACTGTAATATTATTGCAGGTGAATACAGTTGTGCTCGTGTAATGCTACTACTTCGTCGTGAATACAGGTAACCTTATTATTGTTTTTGTAAATTTGTATATTACTCGCCATATTTAGTTATTATTTAATTCAGCTTTATATACCGTGCATTATGTTGGTCGTCGTTTCCTGGGTTTCATTTTGGCTTGATAAGGTATAACATTTTTCCTTTTTTTCATATAATTTTTACTATTATTATTTCATACTTATTATTATTATTTTAAGTGAAAATTTATCAGATGAAAAATTAAAATTGATTTTTGAAAAATTGAAAAAATTAATTAAAAATGAAAAATTAATTTTTTTTTTTTAATTTTAGTTTTTCTATATGCTTCTGTAAAGAATTATTTATAAATTTGTAATAAATTTTAATTTAGGATGCTGTACCTGCTCGTGTATCATTAGGTGTAACAACATTGTTAACAATGACTACACAAGCATCAGGTATCAATGCTAAACTACCACCAGTATCATATATCAAAGCAGTTGATATTTGGATTGGTGTATGCTTGGCATTTATTTTTGGAGCTCTATTAGAGTATGCACTGGTCAACTATTATGGACGACAAGAATTTTTAAAGAAAGAGAAAAAAAAGAAAACAGAATTTAAGGGTTGTTTATGTCCATCAGATCATCCATTTAATCAGGTAAACATTCTTGTAATAAATTACTAATTTAGTAAATAAGGAAATAAAAATATATATATATTTAAAATCAATTTATAATTGAAACTAACTTTAGGACCTAAGGCAATCGTTACGATTAGATATGAATACGTACAGAAGAAAACGATGGACAAAATTTTGGTTAAATAGATACCTGTGCGGTAATACTGAAGTTAGCAAACGTGTTGACCTCATTTCACGATTTGCTTTTCCAACATTTTTTGCTTGTTTCCTTGGTGAGTGATATATTTTTGCATTTCGTTGGAAATATTTAATTAGTTTAATTATCTCATTTAGTTTTAATTAATCAAAACTTTTTAGTTAATTGATTTTATGCTATATAAGTTAATTAAAATAATTATTTATTCGTAATGAGTTTTCGTTTTTTTTTTTTTTTTTTTTGAAAAAAAATTATCTTCAGTGCTTTACTATGTGAATTATGTGAATTGATGAGAAGAAATCGTTTTTTGGTGCAGGTATATCAGAAGATGGAAATCAATTCGAACAGGTGCAGAATGGAACTTGAATTAGCACAAATATAAAATTATTTCAAATTTATACAAATTTTTTTGTAACAGTTCGAAAAACTGTTTTGTTGCGGTAAATGAATGAATAAAGCGGGTTTTCTTGGTGTTATTACATTTGATGAGAATGATAATGGTACTAGTGATAAGAGTGATAACAGTGATAAATGAAGGAGTGGATAAATTTTTATGCTTGATTGATGATTTTGTAGAAGATCTGAAACGAATACCTGATGAATTTGAAAAGAGGAGGAATGAGTATTAATGACTGTACTTGCTTTATTTCTCTTTTCTCCTTCCCTTTCTTTTTGTCTTCTAAACACTTTCCTAATTTTGTGGTCATAGGTCAAGATTCGAGTAATGGTATTCGTGAATTCTTGTCGTCAAAATAGCTTAGGCGCAATAAGTAATTTATATCCAACTGATTTTTATATTTTTATAAGTGACAACTGATTTTATGTGAAGTTGATTATGTAGAAGAGTAAGAAACTGAGATTGAATTTTTTTTTTATGAATTTTATAAATTTGACAGTACGTTAGAAGGCTTACAATACTTGTCTTCTGAAAGAAATTTAAAATATTCATATTTGGGCCTTTTTTAAACCAAAATCATTTTTCATTTTTATTACTAATAAATGATAATTTACTTATAACTACATTTTATTGTCGTGCAGGATATTTCAATGGAAATATGAATTGATAAACTAGCAAGTGTTAGTGATATATAATCTTGGATTCTTATCAGCTAGGAAATTGTTTCTTTTAGAAGAATAATTAGAGAATATTTTAAGTGAAGCTATTTTAGCATTAAATTTTATGTTAGGACTGAAAAAAAAAAGGCTTATCAGTTTTTATCAATTTTTAAAATGATGTAAGTATTAATGGGCAAATAAAATATGATGAAAATTGAGATGAAGAGTGATTAAGATTCTATATTATCATGAATATAGCTAACTTTGAATTGATTAATAAGTAGTGATTAATCCATGAGGATAAAATTTCTTTTCATTAAACTTAACAGTTTGATCAGTTAATTTTTACAAAAGGCTTTTGAACATTTTTTTTGCTGTAAAAGCTATTAGCGATCTTTTTTTTTTTTCATATTTATGAAGTATTTATTGATTTTCCACTTGTAATATTCGAATTAATATTTAATATCTTTAAGCATTGTGTGATTTATTTGGCCTTTAACAATAACAATATTGTTGCTGTTTATAGCCTAATAATGGTAAAAACTATTGAGAATTTTTATTTTAATAAGCCTATTAACAGCTATGCATTCTTCAGAAATGTATATCTGATTGATGATGTATTTAAATAAATGATCGATATCTCTGACAGCAATCCCATAAGTTAATCGTAATTTTACGACATTTCAACTCTCCATGACTTAACGATTTTAGGATTTATGTTTCCGTGGATTTAGCCAAGTTTTATTACTATATTTGGCCAAGATTTACATAGTAGTATTTGACCATTTATCCTCTCCTGACAATTTACAGTATTGATTGAACAATAAAATTCTCAACAATCAAATCAATATATTCAACAGGACATAAAATTGTTTTAAACAATGACTAAATTTATAATTAATTATAAATTTAATTACTGATAGTGGAGCATTATCATAAAATTGCACATTGATAAATATCACTTCTACTAGTTTTATCGTCAATTTATTTCAATCAAACTAAAGAGAGGTTTTTTTTTTTTTTTTTTCTTTAACTTTTAATAATATTATTTTTTAGTTTGACATCACTACTGATAATAGTGATAATAAAATCAACAGTGATAATAAATAATAATCTTTTTTAGAAATTTTACTACTACCTATAAATGCTACTAATTGAGAGGTTAGCCATTTGAGGAAGGAACGTATAGCAGCGCCTAGGAACAATCAAATAAGAGAGAGTGAAGCAGTAAGAGAGAGAGACAGAGAGAGGGAGTTTTCCTAGAAGAACATTTAATGCTTGCTTAGGGCTTTCTAAGATGTTTATGTAAGGAGAGGAAGAAGAAGAAGAAGGACAAAGCAGATGATGAATAATGCCATTTGGATGCCGTAAAATGCATCCCCAAAAGACTGCAAATGTGCATGCAATGTAATGCAGTGCTAGTGCAGTGCAAGTGCTATATTGCACTACTGCAATGCTTAAAACAAAATGATAATCATGAAAAGCCAGAAAAAAAAAAAGGATTTCTTTTTTTTCTTCTATTACCATTTCTATTATTATTATTATTATTATTATCATTTGTTATCATATTATTATTATCATTACTTTATCATTATTATTATTATTATTATCAATAATCATTCTTCACATATATGTAATATCATATTGATGTGCAAAAATGAAATCGAAGTACTAAAAGTCTTTTAGCAAATAGCTATTTTTATGCATGTCCATCTCCATTTTCCTCTCTACATCTCATTCCTAAAAAGTAAAATTGAAATGAAGCAAACACAGACTAAAGCCATCATTGTGCTACACATTCGATAGATATTAGACTTACACTAACACATACATCAACATACATATATATACATATAAAAATCATGCATAACGATTGAGACAGATCGATGCTTTGAAGTTGACAAAGCGCAGGTAAACCCTTTTTCTCATTTTTTTTTTCTGCTTATTGATAAAAAATGAAAAAAAAAAAAAAGAAAGAAAGAAGGGACAGTTTCTTCTCTGCATGATCGACAATGTGACACTTCGTTTTCTTTTTTGAAGAGTTCCATAATCATAGTGACAAATGTTCCTCAATGCTTTAGTGTAAATGCTACTAAAAGATGAGTGTAGCGACGACGATAGTAGCTGCTGGTTGCTAGTACTTCACTCTGCTATTGTTAATTTTACTGCTAACTTTTACTTATTACTGCTAATAACTACAACTATAACTGCTAACTTTTACTTATTACTGCTACTACTACTCACTCTTGTGTCTCTTTGTAAAAAAAAAAAGCATGTAAAGAGAGATTTTATTTGTTGCTTAGAATGACGAAGGATGCTTCTAAGACTTCATCTGCACTGATACTACTACTACAGTGTTTCTACTTCTATTGATGCAATTGAAGAGAGAGAGAAGTGCTGCCAGATAATGCGATAGATCCTTCAAAAGTTCTTTCTTCTTTTTTTTTTCTTCTTTTTCATTTTCTTCATCTTTTAAAGAACAATGAAATTAGACTCAAAACTCATAACCAAATTTTTCATCCTTTAATTAAAATAATTATCAATTATCGCTGCTGTCATTAGCATTAGCATTAGCATCATCATCATTGCTATCAATCATTATTATCATCATCATTATCATTACTGCTCATTATTATCTTCTGTTGCGTAACAATCATTAATTTTGTTATTTCACTCACAACTGCATTCATCATTATTTCTCATATTTCATCTCAAATTCTATTATTATTGTTAAACAGTTTCATTTTGTAGATTTAATCAAAAATTTGGACGACGAATTTATGTTATTATTACTATTATTATTGTTATTATTATTACTGTCAATTTTCTCCTCAACAATAGTGTTAATTTTGGTGGATGGTATTCCTACAACTATTATTTCATCATCATTATCATCATCATCATCATCATCATTATCATCATCACCATCACCAATCACTCAACCTTCTCCGCCACCTAATTTTTCAAATGACCAAAAAAGCGCACATTCAGCAACATTTCCAGCTTTGCTAACACAATTGGAGCATACAGAGGAGCAAAACTGTGAAAGTCTTCTTGCATTACCAAATTTGCATTATTTGCTAGAACATCAATTAAAGCGCAATAATCCACAGCTCTTATTACTGGCGCAATTGATCGCTGAGAATCCTCACTCACATTTGCTTCATCTTCCTGCAAATGTTTCCCTAATTTTGGATTCATCATTAGCTTATAATCTATCGTCACCATTATTCGTCTTACAACTACAATGCAGTCAAGTGGGTGATGACTCATTACAGCAATGGATTCCACTACTTATTTATCCAACTTCTGCTTTTCAATTTTACCTAACCGTACGTCTACGACCTTTTGACCTAAACGCTTGCACTTTATCACAATGCAGCAATACAAAGGTTATTTCAAGTTAATCATTATTTTTTTTTTCTTTTTCTTTTAATGTGGAATATTTTATTTTAAATTATTTTGATCAATGAAATAAATTGATTTATAGTACTGTTGATCATTTTTTCTTCAATACAATTAAATGATATCTTATAGATAAGTTATGATTAACTTTTTTTGTTGCTAAAAGTCAAGTAAAAGTGATTAAAACATTGTCACATATCAGTAATAAATTTGTGCTTAATTTTTAGCTGAATAAATTGATAAAAGAAAATATACAATAGTTTTAATTTTTTTTTTTTTTTTTGTTATGAAAGGAAATCATTTTATTTTTTTTAATTATTTTACTATTTTCTATTTTATCCATCATTTCTCGAAAAATCGAAATTGCTTTTTTTTTATCATTTATTATAATCACTTTTGTAACTATTTTCTTACTAAGAAATAACAATGAAACAATTTTCAAATTGTTTAATCTAATTTCAACTTTTTCTTATCCACTTTAGTTAACATTTTTTTTTATCTACTACCACTATCAACAAGTTAGATATTCATGATAATATCATTTTTACTTTTTTTTTTTTTTTTGTTATTTTTACTTTGTTGAATTTACTATTTAAAAAAATTTTTTTTTCGTAAATTTTTTTTTTTGATATAAAGAATTACTTTTTCTTGCATATTTCAGTAAAGCCACTCTAATAATTTACAAATTTTGGAATATTAATGATAAAAATTGTGCACAAAGAGACACATACAAGAGAAGCTGTTTTTTCTTTTCTTTTTATTTATTAACTTGCTGATGACATTTTATTTTATTTTATTTTACTTTTTCAAAATTTCTAATTTTTAAGTTATGGTGAATTAAATTATAGTTGCATAATGAACTTCATTTTATGCAAAACATATTTTCATTCATTTCAATATATTGTTATTTGCAACTTAAATGTGCTACCAATTATTTATTCAATATGTCATCACTAATTTCATTTTCTGTTATTCTTGAGTTTTATTTATAATTAACTTGCAATTGGGTGATATTATGCAGAAGATATTCTTCTTTATAAAAAGACTTATTAAAGCTAGAAAAGAAGCTACTAAGGTGATGTTGTCCATCATTGGGACAATTGTTATGCAAAATGAAATGATTGATCTTTACTCTACGCGCTTGTTTACTTGTCTATTTATTTTTATTTCACAAAAATGATTATCATTTTCTCACTTATTTGTTTTGCTTCTTTAATAGTTTCATTTACATTTCATACATTTTTCCTCATCTAATAAAACTAACTAACAACAACAGCAATGATAAACAACTATGACAGCAATAATAGACAACAACAACAACAACAGCGACAGCAATAATAAACAACAACTGCTACAGCAATAATAAACAAAAACAACAACAACAACAGCAATGATAAACAACTACTAATACAGCAATAATAAACAGCAATGACAATGACAGCAATAGTAAACAACAACTACTACATCAATGATAAACAACACTCAACAACAGCAACAATAAACAAAAACAATAATGACAGCAATAATAAACAACAACTGCTACAGCAATAATAAACAAAAACAACAACAACAACAGCAATGATAAACAACTACTAATACAGCAATAATAAACAGCAATGACAATGACAGCAATAGTAAACAACAACTACTACATCAATGATAAACAACACTCAGCAACAGCAACAATAAACAAAAACAATAATGACAGCAATAATAAACAACAACAAGAAGAACAATAGCAGGAGTAATAAACAACAACAATAGTGACAGCAATAATAATAATAATAAACACTTTCATATATATTTCATTTTTCACAGAACACAACGGAATGTATGTTTGTTAATTTCATTTCATCTTGTTTTCATCTAAGCTTAAAACATTTCTAATGGAAATGGTGGAAGATTTAAATTCAATGATCATTAAAGAAAAAAAATTTTTTTTTTATTACTAATTGAATTCTTCCTTATTCCAATGGCACATGTAAATTAAATTGTAAATTTCCAAAAAAAGAAAATTTTCTGAATAATTTTAAATCTTTTGCTTACATTAAAAAAATTTTTTTCTCCATGAAAAAGAAAAGAGATTTGAAATTAAAGTTGTAATATTTTTTTGTTATTATCAAGTTTTTTTTTTTATAATAGAGTAACATTTTAAAGCTAATTTTTGAGAGCGAAATAAAATGTATTAGTGATTGAAACAATCAAAAATTTTCATTAAAATTCAAAATGATTAATTTTTATGACATATCTATCGAACTTTCTAGATATCATCATCATTCACTGAGGAACAGTTGCTTTTATTTTGATTTATTTGTTGCATTTTAATAAAAAGTTTAATAAAAAGTTTCTATCACAATTATATTACAATTATCAAAGTTTCATTTGAAATCAAAAAATAAAATATAAATATTTTCATTTAATTGAGCAATTTATGAAATTTCATTTTTTTTTTTTTTTTTTTGTTTTCTTTCATTGTTTAAATGAACTTTGAAAAAATAATCATTTTTCACTAATAGTACAACTGTTCTCTAATCTTTTATTGTAACATTAGCTATTAATCATTTGAATGTATTTTGTGAGGAATGAATATCTCAAATTTCAAATTTTTCAAAAAAAAAAAAAGTAATTAAATTGATCTAAAAAAAGACAAATCGATCATAAATAAGCAAAATTTTTTGCAAAAATCTAAAAACGATCACCGAGAATAATCAACGATGGATCAAATTGCAATACAAGAAATATTGTTTGGAAAAGAAATTTTTGAAAAGTAACAAAGTTATTAATTATCGGTTGTGTTTATAGTGTACGTGGACGAGACATGGTGGTATACGAGTTTATGCTCGTACGTGTTGCACCAATGATACGTCATTATGCCGTGATGCCGCGGAGCAAGGTCATAGTATTTTGGTGCTTTTTAATGGATTATGTTCAACAATTTGTATTTTACTAATATCGGTTGTTATTCGAGAACGTCGCAGACATCATGAAGCACGTGGTTGGGCGTTAATGGAAATTTTTCTTCTTGGTGCTGCCTTGTTATATGCTGTTGTAAGTTTTAAAAAAAAAAATAATTTAAAAGATTAAAATTATAATTGATAATTTTATTTTCTTCTCTTTTTTTCTGCATGAAATTTATTAAATAATATTTTTTGTTTGTTTGTTTTTGTTTTGTTTTCGTTTTTTTTTTTTTTTTTTTTTGGATATAAGTAAAAAATAAATAAGAAAATAATTGTGTAAGTTTAATAAAAATAATTTAAAATTTAAAAGATTAAAACTATAATTCATGATTTTATTTTTTCTTTTGCATAAAATTTAGTAAATAAAATTGTTTGTTTGTTTTTTTGAATACAAGTAAAAAATAAATAAGAAAATAATTGATGTGAAAAAGTATCAATTTGTTTTATTTATGTGAAATTTTTATTTGTAGCTATTGCTGGATTGGTTTAATTCAGCAATTTCAACGTGTTGTTTTGCGGTATGGCTACGTCAAATTGGTTTTTCAACATTTTATGGATCAATTGTTTTGAAAATTTACAGGTATTGGTTCACATATGTAATTTGAAAGTAAAAAAAAAAATATGTAATAAATAAATTTTATAAAATTTTATAAAATTCGAAAAATATAAAAAATTCGAATTGATATAATGTTTAATTAAATAATCTGATTACACAATGAGAAAAAAAAAATGACGAATTAACTAAACTTTTAATGCACTATAAAAATGCTTAGCAAATAAGTCTCTCTGATTACATTTGCTTAACAAATAAATCTTATTTTTTTCTATTCAATAAAAAATTAGAATTAAAAAAAAAAAAAATTCTCAAAAATATTTTACAATTTTATATCTTTGTATGTTTTAACATTTTTGTTCATAACTAAAATTTTTTCCAATTCTTTCTAGACAATTAATTCTAAAAGTAATGCAGGTGAAATTTTAAACAAAAAAAAAAAAAAAAAAAAAGGGAGCAGTAAAGAAATTTCTCAATTTTTGCTACTAATTAATTTATTCAATAAAATTAATTTTTTATTTTTGAAATTATAATTAAAGGAATTTACAAGAATATCGTGTACGTAAAGCACATCATGTTATTGTAAAAGAGGAAGATTTGATGAAATATTTGGCATGTTTATTAGCATTAACATTAACTGGGCTTATTGCTTGGACACTTGGCTCATTTGCTGATCAAGAGCTTTGGAAAAGTGCTTGGCCACAATGTCCCATACAAATGTGGTGTTTAGCTTGGCAAGGTAATGAACTTTTGAACTTTTCATTTCCTTTTTTTTTTTTTTGTAAACAATTAAAATATATTAGAAAAAAGCACTACATTTCGAGACTTTCTTTATAAAATTGAATTAAAAAATTTAATTTCTTCGTTTTTTCCACTCATTTAGAATAATTATTTCAATTCTTTTGAACAAAAAAAAAAAAAAAAAAAAGGAAAAAAATTACTTAATAGTGATTTTATTTAATTTCTTTAGTTAGTTGGAAATTTCAGTTCTTCTTTCGCAGGTTATGAATCGTTATTTCTAATCTATGGGATGCGATTGTGTTATAAAGCTCGAAATAGTAGTTGGCTGGAACGATGGCAATTTACAATTGCTGTATGTTTGGAAGCAATTGTAACACTTCTTGCTAATTTTATAAGGTTAATTATAAATTTATTAAATTTAATTTGTTACATAATAATTTAATCATAATGAAAAAAAAAAAAAGATTTGTTTTTGTTTTTTATTCAAGAATTTTTAATTCAATTGAATATCATATATATATATATTAATCATAACTTTTGTATTTATAATTAATCTTCAATTACATTTAAGCTAAAACTAATGCGAATTACAATTATTTCATTTTTTGAAACTATCATTCTATCTATTCGTTTTAAAATTATGATGTAAAAATTAATTTTGTAAATTTTTGTCAAAAATAATAAAAATTTGGTAATAATATATGATTTTGTTTTTTAATATTATTTGAATATTTTATTGGAAAGGAAAATTTTTTTTTTTTTTTTGTTACTTTATTCTTTACATATAAATATGTAATTATGTAAATACAAATTATTTTAATTACCATTGATAAACAAGTTAATTTTGATTAAATGTAAATTATCACTGAATAAATAAGTTAATTTTGATTAAATGTAAATTATCACTGAATAAATAAGTTAATTTTGATTAAATGTAAATTATCACTGAATAAATAAGTTAATTTTGATTAAATGTAAATTATCACTGAATAAACAAGTTAATTTTGATTAAATGTAAATTATCACTGAATAAATAAGTTAATTTTGATTAAATGTAAATTATCACTGAATAAACAAGTTAATTTTGATTAAATGTAAATTATCACTGAATAAATAAGTTAATTTTGATTAAATGTAAATTATCACTGAATAAACAAGTTAATTTTGATTAAATGTAAATTATCACTGAATAAATAAGTTAATTTTGATTAAATGTAAATTATCACTGAATAAACAAGTTAATTTTGATTAAATGTAAATTATCACTGAATAAACAAGTTAATTTTGATTAAATGTAAATTATCACTGAATAAATAAGTTAATTTTGATTAAATGTAAATTATCACTGAATAAACAAGTTAATTTTGATTAAATGTAAATTATCACTGAATAAATAAATTAATTTTGATTAAATGTAAATTATCACTGAATAAATAAGTTAATTTTGATTAAATGTAAATTATCACTGAATAAATAAATTAATTTTGATTAAATGTAAATTATCACTGAATAAACAAGTTAATTTTGATTAAATGTAAATTATCACTGAATAAATAAGTTAATTTTGATTAAATGTAAATTATTTTAATTATCACTGAATAAATAAGTTAATTTTGATTAAATGTAAATTATCACTGAATAAATAAGTTAATTTTGATTAAATGTAAATTATTTTAATTATCGCTGAATAAATAAGTTAATTTTGATAATAACTTTTTTTTAAATTTTACCGTTTATCATTTTTAGATATTCCATTCGTTATTCAGCACAAAGTGATACACTGATGACTATCACATTTGTACAATTACATTTGACTGTTTCTATTAATATTGTTATTATCATTGCTCCCAAATTTTATTTGGTTTGTTCTATTCTTTTTTCTTTTTTTAAAGAAAAATTAATTTATGATTAATTATAGTTCAAGTTTGATTTTTATTTTTTATCATTAAATTTAATAAATTTATTAAAATATATAATAAAAAAAAAATTCTTTTTTTAAAAATGTGATTTTTTTACATATATATTTTTACAAATTTTTTTTTTTTTTTTTTGAAATGTTCATAAACATCGATCATTCTTTAGAATAGGCTATATTTTATTGAATTTTAAAGATTGTTTTTTTGTTTTATTTGTTAAGCATTTTCGCTTCTTTGCACATTTCTTTTTGTTTTTGTTTATTATTTATGATATTATTGATAAACATTACGGGTAAAAGCAATTCAAAAGCTTTTTTTCTTTTCATTTTTTTTTTTATAGCTTCACATTATGGTTAATTAAGTCCGAATGAATTAACTCTTTAAAAACAAATAATAATTTTTCTTTTCTTTTTTTTTTTTTTTGTTTTTTTTTATTTGATCTAAATATCTCACAAAAATTAGATGGCAAACATTATAGCAAGCAATTGTTGGATGATGGAAAATTTTTTGATCAATTTTTTCCCTTTCATTTTTCATTCTTTTCAATGATGGAAAAAAGAAAAAGGAAAAGAAAAGAAGAGTTTCAGCTTTTAAATTTTCTTTTTTTTTTTTTTTTCAAGCACTTCTAACTCCCTTGGAAATTCATCTTACTTTCCTTTTTCTTTAGCATTCGATGAATTTTTGTTTTTAGATCTTTCTAAAAGCAGAAAATTTATATCTCTTTAAAACAAAAGTTAAAAAAAAAAAAGTTTGAAAATGAGAAGATAAATTTAAATTGAAATGATACTAATGGCAAATAAAAGATACAACTGAACAAATAAATTGAATATTTTTATCATATTTAGAAAAAATTCCATTTAATATATAATAAAAATCAAAATTGTTGTAAATATTTCAATCTATTTTCTATTTTTTTCTTTTTAATATAATTATGCATTTATTAAGCGCTCATCTTTAAAGTGTAAGTAACACATCATAAGAACTTGTAGTAATTCGTTCTGCATTTTAAACTTTAAAATTATTTGAATTTTTAAATCTTATGCAAAATGATGAAATAGTAAATTGTGTGTATTCATTTTTGATATTTTGACAAGTATTATTCAAATTTTCAAAATTTTTAGGTTAGCTCTGGTGGCACAAGGCGTACACAGACATTAGCAGGTACTGGAAGTAAAGCACATCCATCATTGGCTAAACTTCGTGATAATTTATTGAATGGAACAATTGATTTTGCCGAAGTGCCAATAGTTGATATGAATCCGGAAGATATAAGGGTAAGAAATTCCTTGAGATTACGGGCAAATATGGAAGGGTAAGAAATTCCTTTAGATTATAGGCAAATACGAAAGTTATAAGGATAAGAAATTCCTTTAGATTATGGGCAAATACGGAAGATATAAGGAATTAAGTAAGAAATTCGTTTAAATTACGGCCAAACTCAGAATTGATCATATTTTATCTTCATGATAATTTCAAACTCTTTTTGCACTTTTCGATTAAGATAAAATTTAAAGGAAAAGTGAATTTTGTTCTAGAGATACATCACATTAATTACTAAGGTTTTCCAGAAGATATAAGGGTAAGAAATTCCTTTAGATTATAGGCAAGAATTTCAATGGAAAATATTGTGATATTGCAAGTGTAAGGTTGAATGCAATTTATGCATTACTCTCTTGAGATTTGTGAAAATCATTTGAAAAACTATTCAATTTAATCTAACAGTTTGCTATTGTGCAGAAAAAGAAAAGAAAAAAATCAACTAGCTAGGCATTTTTCTTTAGGGGATCAAAGCTAATAGTATATTTTAGACTTGCAAATATTATTTGATCTATTTAAATTTATCAATTGTTAATTTAGGCTGAATTGAAACGAGTCTACACACAGCTAAGAATGTACAAATTGAAAAATTTGTATCAAGATAATCCACATATCAGTAGACGAAAAGGTGGTAAAAAATCAAGCACTGATAAAACAATTATTAAAAATCGACGCATTTCAGTACCTACAACAAATTCTCCTAAAGTGAGCTTTATGATCATTTGATATTTAATAAAAATAAAAGTAGGGACTTAAAAGTAGAGAAACTTTGTAATTACATTTTAATAAAGCTTATTAAATATTAAAATTATTAGTAGTGATTGGTATCAACTTCAAAACATTCTAAAAATTGCTAATTTAATGGGAATTATTGTTTATCATTTACGATTTTGCTATAAATATGACTTATCAGATTTCACTTTTTCGAAATGCAAAATAAATTCATAAAAGCTCTGCTTATATGTCAAATTGAAGAAAAAGAAGAATTTCTCACCATTGTGGAATTCTTGAATTTAATTAAATAATAGCAGATTACCAATGGGAAATTTTTAATGGAAACAATGTAATATTTAGATATTTGAGATATAAATGGCATTTATTATAGATTAAAAGAATTGATGATGAGGAACGGAACGATTTAACAGTGGAATCGGCACCTCACAATGTCTTCCTTTCAACATATAAACTACAGTTAGAACCACATCAATCTGTACGTGTGTAGAAATAAATGTATTTTTTTTAAAAAAAAAAAAACATGAGTGACTAAAATTTAAATCGCACAATGTGCAGTCATTTGAAATGTCTTATACATTCCTCTTCACTTATTGTCTTAATAATAATAAAAGAATAATAATAACTATAATAATAATAATTATTATTATAATAAATAATTATAATAATATATTATTTCTAATGTGAACCTGTCATTTAACTTCTCATTCGTTTTCCAATAAAATCATGCATGGATGAACAACATGTCATCTAATTTCGTGTGACCATATTAGCTAAAGGCTAGGAATGGACATCCTCGTAAAGTTATAAATTCCTTTACTTATTCAATTACTCTGCACCAATGAATCAGCAGTCAAAACTCCATGCCAGTGTATTCAATTAACCATCAGTCACCGGTTAACATGCATATACACTGCATAGTCAGCATGTCTTATGAGCTTACTCTCTTGCATTATAAGCTCTACTCTCTAGATATTTCATACACCATAATTCACAAAGTCAGTCTCTCAGAAGATTTCCTCAAACTACACTTATAGACTAGATGATAAAATTCAAAACTAGTAGCAACTGGCATGAATTTGCCAATTAGAACGTTTGCATGAATAACAAAAATTCTTCAAGGGGACAAAAAAAAAGAAAAAAAAAACAGGGTCTCACAAAAGCATTTGCCAAATTGCAAAAAGTATATCCCAGGCATTTCTTAATATACAAAAGACCTTCAACTATCTGACCGTAAAAAATTTTTGAAAAGATTAAAGTGTTCAAAGAAGAAAACTTATTCAAACTTTTATACTGTCAGCAAACAGCCCAACATTAAGAACTCTTTATCGGATGTTGGTAATAAATGTTACAACAAACGAATTTTAAGTCTTATGAGATAACTTCACTCATTGCCGACTTGGAGCACCTGGCCGCTGGAAACGGTCTCCGACAATGCCGCCACGCTGACCAAAACGTGGAGGTGGGTTACGGTCCTTGCGTGCTTCACGTGAACGATTGCGCACTACTTTACTGTGAATTGCACAGGATACACAATAATGCAGCTTGTGATATAATTTTGGCAATGCATACGCTGAAATATGATCACAGTAGGAAATGAGATTAGGAACAATTACAATAATTTCAACACTGCTTGCTGTCTCCCTTGAAGATTCGTAAAACTTCAAAAGTTTCTACCTGTGCATATAGAACTCTTCGTATGCTAAATTCTGCACACTATAAGATCTACATAATTCCGAATACGCATATTCCATTTAAAACAGTTGCAGGTAAATACTTATAATAGTGTTTTCCTCGCATTTTAGTATGACAAAAAAGAAGAAACGTACAGTCATAAGCAGATGCATCAGAAATATCTCGAACGGCAGCTGCTTCTACAATATTGCGAACAACAAATTTCTTGATAGCTTTATCTTTTGGTGCACAACGACCACAATTTGTGCAGCGAATGGGTCTTACATGTCCACGACCTTTTTTATTACGTCCGTGATTTCGTCGCTTTGTTGTCATTGTTTCCTTAATCAATTAATGCCAAAGGAAAGCACGATTATTCAAACGAACTAGTATTTCTAAAATAACATTATTAATTAGTTGATTTTCGTTGCTTAAGCCGATCAAATCGTCATTAAATAAGTATGTTTTTTCGTAATCCTACCAAACGCGTGAAGAACTAACGACGCCTCAGAGAATGCATATAATCTTTAAGTATACAGAATTGAATTTACTAGAGGAATCGATTGAATACATCTCTGTTGATTACATTTCTGTTATATTCAATATCTCATTGTTATTTTTCAACTTTTATAGGATTTACTAAGGTCTAAACAAAACATTTAAATTCGATGTGTGATAAATGTGATAAACGTTTACTAGTTTACTAGTTTTTAAGCTAAACTTAACCACCTAAACACAAGAATTTACAACCATTAACCATTCCTCGCCTCTCGAAACCATAACTGTAGGCCAAATCACATAAACTGAAACTTCGTTTCACAGTCGCGGAATGCAATACCGCGTCTCGTTAATGTCTTTAATTTATTTGTTAACATCAATCTCCGATGGTGCGTATGTTTGATGGAAGATATGCGTAACAATTGGATTCGTTGATCAATTATAGGTTTTATTTGGAACTATCATTTATTGCCAATTCATTTTTATCAGTTAGTATTGCATTACTTATTAAATTTACAATGTGCTTATTTTTTTTTAAATTGAATTAGATATGATGTATGAATGTTATTAATTGTATGAAAATTATGACAGTAATAATTATAATAAGCAAAACAAAAGAATAAAATGAAGTAATTGCTCTAATAACATATATATATATGTAATGTTGGATAGATAGAGGATGTTGATTTCCATTTGGCATATTCACTTTCATAACCATTCAGTTATATAATTTAATATAAACATAACAGCATAACAGCTTCCTAAATCGATACATTTTATTAGCAGTGTTCTTTCAGTCTAAAATCCATGCATAAATTCAAACATGCAATTAGCAAAGCAGGTACGGAAAATATTCCAAAAGCAATCCAAAAGTGATCTACTGGATGACTATCAACAATAAATTTCAATAGGAAAATTGTTGCTAAAAGATGTAAACACATCGAAAAAATAGCCTTTGTAAATGTATGAAGCTGAAATGTTAGTAATATAACTTCAATAGCACAACATGCTATTCCAAGACTGATTGCAATTGTTAGTGATGTTTCCACATCTATGTACTCACTTTCGGTCCAATCTGTTAAAGGTAATGTTGCCATCACATATTCTAAAAATTTCATTGAACATAATGCCCTGTTAGTGAGCATTAATTTATGCTAAAAAATAATAACTAACTTAAAATAAGCAGAAAATTTGCGTACATTAAAGAAGCATTAAATATTTTTTATGTATCCTCTAAATTTTATCGTTCAAATAAACAAATTTAAGCAGACATGAAGATTTGATGAAAAAAAAATTGGAATTTCTAACCGTTCATATCTGATAATGCCATTACTAACATTGCCCCATGAGCTGTAACAGTTACAAAATATGCAGATGATGCATTTAACGCCATTAGAAACTGGAAAGCTTAGATAAAGCAGGAAAGTAAGCAATAGCAATATTCACTATGGAAACAAGAAATAATCAATCATCTATTTTTAGCCCTCTAATAATTGCTCAAGTAATCGATTTCCACTAACGTTGACACATTTATTTAATAGTGCTTACTTGCATGATGTGTTAATTATACATACATACTAATGAAGGCCTCATTTTAATGAAAATTTTGCTCTAATAAACAATTAACAATGAAATATCCAAATCTTGACATCAGCATCATCATCATCAAAAGATCAATTAAACAAAGACAATCTTACATTTGATGTTCTGGTTTTATCCGTGAAGCTATATGCATTACCTAACTGGTATACAATTGTTCCATATCAAAAAAAAAAACTAGAAGTGCGTGAAAACAACTGCATGCACAATCCATCGCTATTTTTTAAGCATTTATCAGATTTATAAGACAAAACATGCCACAATGAAGATATGCCGCAGTAAAATCATAAATACTTTATGTCACACATTTACTGCCAACCATAGTACACGGATACGAAAATGGGCCACCGCAAGAAATAATGTTCCGAATAAAATGCATTTTTTAACATATATCATTACAAGTTTTGAACAATTCATTAATTAAAATTTATTTTAAAAAATTATGTAGCCCGGAGTTTCAGAATTCTCCATTTCAGCACAACTAAAGATAGAACTTTTTTGAATTTCAATTCTCCAAATTCTTATTCTTGTGAACCAGTAAATATTTTGCTACAAAAGATATAGATTGCGATCACTGAGTCTGACAACGCACACCTTGCGGCCCATGTGTTTCATATTCATATGACGATGATGGACGAGGCCCATGGTCATGAATTAATTCTAACTCCACAACTTCTGCATCATCTGATACCAACGGTTCTGTACCATTTGGTAACAAGTTCTTCAATTGTTCAACTTCCATAATTTTCTTCGGGAATCGCACGGCAAACTGAATAAGTAGGTCACCTTTATCAAAAGGATTCTTATAATGCGGCATACCTTCACCAATTATCGTACGCATATCGCCATGCTTCATCACTTCACCTGAAAAAAGCTTGCTTCACACTATTTAACCCAAGAATTAGCACTGACAAAGATTCCCAAGAATAATGTTGAAAATATAGTGAGATTTGTACTGAAAGAAAATATCCAATATCGCAGCTGCAAAAACTCTATCTCATCCATGTCACGAGTTCATTAAAATCTAGCGCAGTTCTCATTACTCGAAAAATTATGAAATTTGGAAAAATAGACGGATTAAAAAGTAAAGAAACCTGGAAATATTGAAAAAATAAGATGACGAGCATCTAATGTCGCTACTGATTTTGTGCATCCACAAAGTGCTTCCACCAATTCGAGATCAACTTGCATAACAAGATTATGTCCTTTCCGCACAAATGTATCATGTGATTGTTCATCCAATATAATCACTACGTCACCAGGAGTTATTCCAACCTTAATTGCGTATGCTATAGCTACCAAATCAAAGAGGGGTGATTTGATAACGAAACGAAAATTAGGGATGCTTCAATATAAATCTGGTATTATGTCCGACAAAATATGAATAAGATGAATGCCATTTTCTGTGTGCAAGGAGAAAGAAAATATCTTGTAGATGCTTTCAGCGTATTATCGTAAAGAAGTGAATAAACATCATTAAAAACTCAGTTCTATACGACTTTGTGAAAAAAAGAATGGAGATATCTTAATCAATGGAATAATTTGGAAAAGACAATGTGCAGAATTCATCAGCATACTTCTTGATCGCCTTGTCCTGAGAACACTATTTTTTGTCCATCCTTCATTCCTTTATCAATATGAACTTCCAGAACAGACTCATTTCGGATCTGAAATAAAAGCAAAACTCCTACAAAACAGTAGCAATACAGCTACAATCCAATGAAAGATGGCATAGCTTTAAGTATCAGACCACTCCTCTATACGATGATTAATTAACTTCAAAGGCATTTGAAATCTTTTGTGGTATAGGATAAATCAGTATATAACGTCAAGTTCGTCATTTCTATGTTCCGTTTAATTTACATAGTTAGTCATCATGCGGAATACCTTTTAGTGCATAATAATATACTTCGGGAGCTCTCTGCAAAATGAATTCAAGACAAAGCAAAAATAATTATGACTAATTAAGATCGAAACTTGCTAACGCTAAAGCATCTTGGTTTTTTTTTTTTTTTTTCATATAAGAGCAATGTATGAAAGTAACCTTTTTTTTTCCGTCACATTGCTTGCATCGATCTTTTGAAGGTATTACTTCACCTTCACCTCGGCAAACATTACATGTTGACTGCATTTGTTGTACCATACCAGGTCTAATTTGCGTAATTTCGATCCGTACACCTCGACCTTTACAACTGTCGCAACGAATCACAGAATCCTGGAATTAAGATTTAAACTAGAATGTTTTTACAATCCTTATGAAATACCTCAAGGAACGACAACGTATAGATCAACCCTAACGTTAGGATTCTCTTCCGCAAAACTTATCATATACGATAACATGAAAGTTCCATTTTTATGACAATTAGTACTACTCCACCTTTGTTCCACCAATACCTCCGCATGCCGGACAAACAATATTACGTGAAAGTTTCAGTTTCTTGACAGCGCCGTTATATAATTGTTCTAGCGTCACCGGTAATTGATGTATCATGTCACGTACTTTACGTTCACCTCTTTCACCACCTCGGAAATGACCTAAAATTCAAGATAATCCAGCTAAAGCGCGAAAATTTAATTTCGGTATATGTATTAAAAAAACACGCATCCAATCTTCTTATCAAGTTTGCTAAACCTTGATTTATACTGCATTACACATAAGAATTATTTTCAGAATGTCCAACAAGTTATTTGTTTCGATTTTTTGGTATATTACAACTGAAACAAATATATGTATTTCTTCATCGAATAATAAAATTATTTTATTCCAATCCTAAAAAACATGCCATTACCTCCGAAAAACATGTCGAAAATGTCCATTGGATTATGGAAGTTTCCACCTCCACCCGCTCCGCTTAGACCTTCTTCGCCACCTTCGTCATATACCTGCCTTTTTTTCGGGTCCGATAAAACCTTCAATTTCATGAATTAATCGAGCAAAATGTTTCTTAAAAAAAGCAAAATCTACTACTACAAGAAAGCAGCTTACTTCTGTTCTTGTGCAGGATAAAGAAAAATATGGAAAAACCTCATATGCTTGTGAGATCGCCTTAAAACGTTCGCCCTCATTGGGATTCTTATCCGGATGGTACTTAAGTGCCAACTTCCTGTACGCCTTCTTTAGTTCATTTTCGGTTGCGGTAGGCGAAACGCCCAAAATATCATAGTACTTTGTTTCTTTGACCATTGTTATAGTTCAGAATTCTGAAATGACTTGAAAGAGATGGCTGCAACTCCATTAATCATATCTTATAATGACCAAGCGTGAAGCTCGGAAGCAATCTTACAGCACAAAATACTGAACTACTTACTTCAATTTACCGTAGTAATACTTATGACACAATAAAATGCTAAAATTTCATTTTGTAGTAGAAATTTCTAATGAAAGTGCTAAACTTATTCTTATATATTTCATACAATCATATGATATATGTATATTACCTATAATATCACTAGTAAAAAGGATGAAAAAAACATTGCTTCAACATTGATTAAGATGTCCTACTAAATTAGTCTTCTATGCAAACTTGAATTAACTTTAGAAAATAAATTATCAAAGATTAGATTAAATGAAAAATACTATTTAAGTACTCCTAGAGCAAAAAAAGAAAAAAAAAAAAAAAAACTAAGAGAAATTCTTTATTAAAGTATTACTTCAACACTAAGCTAAGCTACCGTCAACCTTTCGCACATACAACAAACCCATTTTTACTACATTGGAACTTTCCAGAGAATTTTCGAAATGAATGTGATGCGATATGCAACAATTCAATCTCATTTGAGAATAAACAAGTTGAATTTATGTGAACTGGGAAAAAGATATGCTTGGATGTTTGAATTGCTGTTGAAAAGAAACAAAATAAGAATTGAAAAACTGGAATTAATTAATTCAATTAATTGATTAACCAATTAATTGAATTATTGAAGAATTATTTTTTTTTCTTTTTTTCATTAATTTATTAAAACAATAATAAGAAGTAAAATATGTCTAAAATTAGAATAAAAGATGAGAATAACTATTTATTAACATTATTGCTCAAAAATTTCAACATTTTACATTTAATTTTCATTGCTTTTTCAATAATTTTTTTTTTTTTTTTTTAAGATGAAATAAATTTGTTATATTTGCTAACTCTACAAATTTCTGTTCCAAAAAAAAAAAAAGGATTTCTTGTGAATAAGTGTAAAATGATTTTATCAAGGTGTAATTTTATTAATCATACATTGTCATCAATAAAGATGGTACATTTAACAAGTAAGCAAAAAATAAGCAAACAATGATGCGACATCAATGCTAGGATTAACTCTCGAGTAATTCTAAGTAAATTCCGGGATGCATTAAAACAAGTTTGTATTGTTAAATAGGAATAAAGTAAATAGCTTCTCTCCATTTTCCATTGCATATTTTCATTTTCAATCTTTTACAAAAACACAATTTTTTGGAATTTATCTTCCATTATTTCATCTCTTTTCTAATTTTTTCTTTTTTTTTTTTTTTTGCATTGATTGATGATATGAGAAATAGTGGAAATTTGTTTTAATACTTTCCCAGAATTTTATTTAATGCTTTCCGAAAAATGCTTCTCGAGAAATCTCAGCAAATTCCACCAACAATACTTCATCGATCGATCAGTCATACACCTAGCATGGTGGTTAATATCAAAAAATATCTATCTGATCAACCACAATTGATTGATTGTCCATATTGTAAGGTAAAAGTAAAAAAAAAAATATTTTGTAATAAATGTTATTATTATTTTTCATCTAATAAATGAAATGAAACAATTTATTGGCATTTGTTTGTTTTTGTTTTTTCTCACAATAGTGAAATTTTAAATTGTATTATTAATAAGAGTAAGAAGTAATTGAATGAAAGCAATTTATGATGATAAGCTGACAGTGATCTCTGAAAGATAATAGATAAGGAAACTTATAATATTAACATGAAGAAAAAAAAAAAAAAATTAAGTAATTTTGAGTTACTAATAATTTGTTTTTTGCAGGAAGAGTTTGCAGATTATTATAAAAAAGATTATAAATATCAGATTATAAAATAATTTATAATATTTATTATAAATTCAATTCCTATTGATTTTATTGATATTTATCACTAATGTTCCTTTTCAAATTTGAGAAAATTACATTTTCTTTCATAATTTCTGCTATAAAAGAGTTAATAGTATAGTATTTTCACTACTTAATCAATTCCACACAAAAAAATAATTAAAAGTTAGCATTTTAAAAATGCTATCAAAATGATTAATTTATCATTCATTATAGATTCATTGTATCACCGAAGTGAAATTTATTGTTGGTCTCTTCACATGGATTAGTTTTCTAATTATCTTAATTGCTGGCATTTTTATCCTACCCTTATTCTTTCTTTGGGTACCATTCTTCGCTGATACATTCAAAGATGCGTATCATTACTGTCCCAATTGTAAAGCCTGGATTGGAACTTATCGTCGATTGGGTAGAAGCAAGTAGTGATTTTTTCAATTTCAAAATTTGTTTTATTTTGGCAGTGAAATAATGTTTGATATTCTGTTGACATAAAGTTTTTGTCCAATATGTTCGTTGATTTGTGCAACAATTAATTTTATAAAATATTTAAAAGTCTAACGTTTAAAAAATACTCTGGTCAAATGATCATTTTGTATATAGCCGGTATAAATTGATATCTAGCAAATTTAGTTTTTGACAGCTTTTTTTAAAAAAAAAAAAAAAAAAATTCTGTTAAGAGAGAATTTTTTAAAGTAAATATAAGTTTTGTCAGTAATTCATTGCCATATACACAAAATTTACTACGTTTTGTCTTCCAAAATGTGATCGAGATGCAAACATTTTGTGTACTGGATAAAATAGTTTGATTATTTTTAACTTAATTAATTTAATTTTGGGCCTTCCACATTCCTTGAAAAAAATTAAGCAAGAAACAATACATTTTCTATCTTGTTAAAATAATCGATTGTCTGGATTTCAGTAATTCATAACATGAAATCAGTAATTTAGTAAGACAATAATGCTGACAAATTGACAAGAAAATAAGAAATAATGACAAATTTGTAAGCGTTTTTTTGATGAACAAAATAAAAAACTTAGAAAAGACTGAGAAATCGTAAGAATAACTGAATTTAAAGCTACAAATTCATGCTTTATATATTAATAAGCAACTTTAGAGAATATAAAAGTAGCAAAATTTTGTAGTAAATGTTACGAATAGCTTGAGCAGTGCTAAATTAAAGTACTACATTACTCAAATCTGGCTTCAGATTTCTAAAATGTACATAATTTTAGCGAAATTTGGGAGTTTCGTACTGTATAAATTCAAGAAAGTAAGAAATTAAATATAAACTACTCAAATTAGTTTAAGATGAAAAAAGACTAATTACAAACTGATATAAAAGAAAAGCCCAAAAATTATACTTAAGAAGATACAAATGAAAGCATATTTTTTATAAAAACTGAAGAATCCATCCGTGAATATAAACAAAGTTATGAATCGTCTTCAATAATATGTTTAGTACTCACCAAAATATATAGCAGTACTTTGGAAAATTCCTTCAAAAACTCTCATTGAAATCGAAATACTTTTACTTATGGGTTGTTGTCAAGGTTAATAGTGTTTAAAAATTTAATTTTATAATAGAAGTAAAATATATTTATAGTGTTTAAAAAAAGAAACTTAATTTTTCAAGATTAATAATGCCTAAAAAGTTAATTTTATAACAGAAAATGAAATAAATAATTATAATGAAAAGCAAATAAATGTTTGAACTGAACATTATTTTGTTGCTAAAATTTCATGACCAAAAACTAACCATAAATAAACATAACTGAATTGCAAACCATTAAAATGTATATAATTAGAAGTATTGATCACAATATTTTTATACCCTAGTGAAACGTCCAAGGTTTCGTTTGCAGGATGGACATGAATGGATGACATCCTGACAATTATCCAGGTAGAACGGAATACAACAAAGGCACCATGGAAGAAGTAGAAAAAAACCAAGTAGAAAGCATATTCCCATAACAATCCATGGAAGCGCACCAACTATCCTTTGTATTGATGTTACAACATGTGCCTATTTCAAAATGATTAATTTTTCAACGAAAATTTCAAACAAATCATATAATAATTTGCTTTGTCTTTTAAGCATTTTTAAACGCTCGATAAAATAATTAACATAGAAGAAATAATATTAAATAATAATTAAGCATAAGTAAAATGCAATAACAATAGCAATTATAAAATCTAATTTCCTAATCTGAAAATTTCAGATCAGCATATAATTTTTAAATTTTATTAAAAATTTACAATTTTTTTTTTTTTTTTTGCAAAAAAAACTACAAACCTGACAATATGGACAATCGGTTTCAATCGGATTTGGTCCAAAAATAGGTGTAGTTGAGGAAATTAAATTAACACGGAATGGCGTAGTAGTAGTAGTAGTAGTAGCAACATTTTCATCAGTATTAGTTATATTTGTTGCTGCTAAAGATGGTAATGGTGCAGGACATGAAGAAATACTAGTGATATCAGTGTTAGTAGAATTGCTATTATCAGTGTTATGAATTTCTTCGTATTTTGGTGGAGGATAATCGCCAGCAAACATTATGAAACGAACATTAGTGAACAATAAACTCACCAAAATTCAATCACCAAGAAATTAGTCTAAAATACATAAGTTAAAATTGATAAATAAAAAAAGTTAACATATCACATAATTCAAGAATAATGCAAAATTGTAAAATGAAAAAAAAAAAAAAAAAACTTGATAAAATATGTTTTCATCAGATTTCAGAACTCATTAAATTTCTGATATATGTATATCTCTTGAATTGTTTAATCTAAAATGTAATGTTTACTTATATTTTTAGTTTAGAAATAGCTATCATAGATTGATAAGCAGTGCAAATTAAGCCTATGACAAGTTTAGATCACTACAGTGTAGCACAAATGAGAGCAGCTCTTCTCTTCTTCTTCTGAAAAAATTTTCTGCTCAATAATAATTGATGAGATTCCGCAACAGAAAAGCAAAACTGGTAAATGAATTTGAAAAGTTTTCAATAATTATTTTTGTATTTCCTTCTGCTTTAGCACACAATTCATTTCATTGATCACTTAAACCATTTAATTTCTATCAATTAACTAACTTATTCAGCGAATCAACAATTTCACATAATTTAAAAAAAAACTTTCAAAAAAATGTCAAAAAAGCAAAGAAAAACAATGTCAAAGAATTTTAAAAAAAAGTGAGAGAAAAGAAACTAAAACGATTATATATATATATATATATTATATATACAGTTTAGTTAGTAAAAATAATCCATTATTTTTAATTTTTGTTTTAAAGTGACTATGCAGTCAAGTTGCAATCAAATTTATTAACAGAAACAGAATATCTGATGACCTAAACTATATGATCATTTTAAATCAGTACTTTATTACTGATCTATCTTCCACATACAAATAAACTGCTCAAGTCTCAATTTTTTAATAAATAAAAAAAAGTGTAAATTTTTCAATCGAATTATAAATAAGGTTACATAAACTGATTAGCAAATTAGTGCATGTAATTTCAATTTGTTACCTGTTCTCACCTATGACAGACACTAATAACAAAGTTATAAGAATATAGTTTTGAAATTTTAAGAAAAAAAATTTTAAGAATCATTACAATTAGACATACACTTGAAATAGTAGAGTATATGCCATGGTGTGTGTGTGTGTGAGAGAGAGAGAGAGAGAGAGAGAGAGGGAGAAAGAAGTAAGAAAGATCAGTAATAATTATTCCTATATTTTATAAACATAATTTTAACATATGTCAATGTTAATCCTGAATTCAACTTATGTTGTAAAATTAATTAGCACATTTTTTTTTCAGGTGAGTCAGACAATAGTTTACAAGTTATCTTCTAAACCTAAACAAATAAATAAAAGAAATGTAGTTAAACATTTGGGCTGGTTTCACTTATTTTGACAAAATATTATACTGGAAAAAAGATCTTAAAATCGAGGTAGTAATGTTACTCCAACACGAATACTAATATATGTAAGCCACGAAGAGTACTTCTGAAAAACAAAAAAATTGATCAAATAATTACAAGTATGAATTGGAAAACCTTTATTTGTATTAACTTTGAAAAATATTCACATGTACTGCAGCTAATCATCACAAACTTATGAAACAGTAATAGTAATAGATAATGAAGAGGGTACTGAACAGGGAAGGTCCCATATCTTTGTAACAACTTTGTAACAATTTCTTTTTAAAAATATTAAAAAAAGGCATAATAAGTGAGTAATAATGTGAAAGTGTAATCACTTTTCCAACGGATGATAATCAAGCAATTTGACAATTAAATCGACATGTGACAGAAGCATTCTTCGGCAACAGTAGCGGCGTAAATTTAATGCATCGAGAGCATCACCTGAAATTAAAACAAAAAATCATCTCTTGATATTACTAAAGCACTTATAAGCAATATCTCCGTTTAAATGCCTCATAATAATTGCAGTATAAAACTTTGCTGATTTTAATTCTCAACTTCGAATTCTGAAACAAATTTCATTTCGTAATCAGATATGAATTTACCAATGAATAAAGACTATCCATTGACACATTAAATTTAGATTGAAATCTAAAAATCGACAAATTACTAGCCTTCCGAATATTCTGCTTGAAGTAATCCGAGATAAGCATCCCATTTGTTACCAATAACTTTACCACAAGTGAAGCAACGTATCGGTATAATCATTTTGCTCCTTCTCAGAACAATTCTATAAAACAAGTTTAAGACGTGAAACGTCAAACAATTCAAAGAAAGTAAAACAAGCTTTCAGCTAAGAGAAAAACTCCCTCAGTGCAATGTTCCTCTGATGATAGCTCGTAATATAATACTCAGTGACCACGAAGTTGTCGAAAACATAAAATAACTTTCGACCCTTAGAATAAGTCTCACTTATTCTACTGAAGTTAACTCAATTTCTAGGAACAAAACAGATCTATACATAGTCCGACAAAAGATAACTTCAAAGTTACTTGTAAATATTCCAGATTATCAACAACGTAAGAATTTAAATTGTAAAGCTTACGATTTTGCATAACTTATAAATTGTTTACAGTCAGAATGATTAAATCTAAAATCTGTCTAATCAAATCAGGAGATCAGTTAGACACAACTAGGTACAGAGCATAACAAAAAACTGATCTTAAACAAGATTCATTTTCTGAGACAAACTTCGCAATCTCAATCTTTGCTAAATGTTTGTCATAAAACCTAACATTTCAGCTAATCTAACTAGATGTGGCTAAATTGTTGTTGATAATACAGGATAGATGAATAGCCTTATTCCAAAAAAGTAGAAGTGGAATGAATAGACATAAACTGCGAAAAAATACAAAAACGAAAGAGAAAAAATTTTTATTGAAACTGTTAATAAAGCAGTGCAAGTGAGGAATTATCGGCACAAAATATACATATAAATAAAATTTATCACGGTCGCGACTCTACTAATTCTCTAATATTCTTTTCCGACTCGGCTAAATTTTTCTCTAGATATTTTCTTTGATGATCGATTGCAGCTATTTTTTCTTTTGCTTTCACAATCTATAAATGAAATTTTTAAAAAAGTTGAAAATCTCCAAAATAAAATTTAAATTAGAATATTTGGAATATTGAAAAATAAAGTTCGACATTCCGAAATCATTCCTTTAATAAAAGCCTAACAATGAGTGAAAGAAAAAAGAGTTAAAGTTTAATTCAGTACTTCGAGCTAAGATATAGCTGACACTGTTATAAAGAGAAAATAACAAACAACAGATTGATATGCTTAATATTACGCAGTTCTAGAAAAATCATGCATCACTTTTCAACGTGATGAAACAATTCATTATTGGTTATTTCTAATTTCACCTCAATAAAAATATAAGGAAGAAATTTTTCAATCCAAATGTGATAAAATCTTCAACTTTCAGCTTACTTCTTGTTCATGTCGTATGATCTCTGATTCTACGGTTCCTTTGGCAAACATTCGCCCAATACTCATATATACAGGCGTATTCTTGTCTAACTCCAAAAGCTGTGCCTTGGTTAGCTCTGCTATTCGTCGATTCTAGAAGTCGTAAAGCAAAATATGACTTTTCAGTTGTAGTTAACTGCTGTCTTAATATTGAGGCAGTAACTAATTAGGTTTAATAAGTTGCAAAAAAAAAAAAAAAAAAAAAAAAAAAAAAAAAAAAAAAAAACAAAATTCGGTCTTGACTAAACGTTATCCGTGAAGCACTATAAATCAAAAATCTGTTGTTACATAAATCTTGACTTTCAAATCACACAATTCTTTATGTAAAGTAATGGCAAAATACCTGCTCCTGTTGCTTCTTTAATGAATCACCAAGTTGTAAACGGCGATTTGTATCAGCCACTTTGGTCTGTAACTCTCTGAACGCCTAAAATTAAAAGTGAGAAATGATTAAATAAGAAAAAAAGAATTCTAAAAAAATTAATGAATGATGGTGAACATGACATTTATTATGATCAAAAATAAACAGCACGGTGCGACACTTCTACTGTTTTTTTTTACTATCGCTGTAGAATAAACATTCATTTTCTCTGTTAACATATCGCACTCAAATATGAGATAATGCTTAGCAAAAAACTAAATACACAATAAATTTCAGTTTTCTTTGAGACAGAATTCTAACGTTTACATAGGAATGAACAAACCTTTTTTAATTGTACCGAATAGTCGTCTGCCATAACTGACGACCAATTGAAGGCAAATATCTAAAAAACGGGAAACAATAAATTTAAGAATAAATTTAAAATAAAATCAACAAAACTAAAATAATAGCCTCTAACCGTGTAGCTGTAATTATAAAGTCGAAAATATATTTACAGCCAATCTAGAATTCATCTGAGTTAAATATCCTTTTAAAACCTCATAAACAATTAATCTTTTAAGCACAACCGCCGTATAAATTTTGGTAGATAAAATTGAACAGTAAAAAATAAGATCTCACGGACATAGACCATTTCATTTCGCTGCAAGCGATATGTTAAGAACTAGAAGTTTAGAGTTATGAAAAAAAAAAACAACTCGAACCAATAATTTATCATGGAATGTTAATAAACAACAAAATCAGAAACAAAATTACCCACATAAATGACCAAAAAGTAGATACTGACCTGTACAAATTTTAATATATTTCAATAACCAAATGCATAACAATCTCAAGTATGCATTCAATATTATTGATAAGATTTACATACAAAAAATATTTTTATAGTACGCACATAAGCAAACGTGAACCTGCAAATTTGTTTGAAAGCGTTATTTATACTAGAATGAACTATGATAAAATTAGAATGAACAATAAATTGTTCAGAAATCATATATTTCAGACTAAGTACATAATAAAACACGCAAACAAGTCAAGTATATTTTGTGATAAAAGCACATAAATCATTAAAAAGAACTGGATCGACCTTCTTGATATTTTTGGCCACCGACTGATATGCCAACAGCTTGCTGATGAAGTCAATTGTTTCACAATTTTCATCACAAATTAATTGCTGAAAGCAAAAACACATTATAAGAAATTCCAAAATATAAAGAGAAAAATTTATTGATTTCCAGCCTTGAAATCTCTTTCTTCGATTCCATATAACTTTCGAGAAAAGTAATGAAATCAACAAATAATTGTTTCAGCCAATTCAAACTTCGAAAAATCAAAATAATAAGAGCGAGACTTTTTTAAAAATGCAAGGTACATCTAGCTCGAATTCAAAAAGATAAGAAATGAAAAAACAAGCTTATGTTCTTCCTCACCGCATCCTCAAGAGCCTTCGGTTTACTGCTTCCGACATCACTGCTGTTGTCCGTAACAGATATATCAAGCATGGCAAGTTTCTCCTCCACCGTTTCAACCGGTACATCTTGCAAGCCATCATCAATGACACGTGCATAACATGCAAGAACAGGATAATCAGGAAAATACAAGAGTTGTGCAGCAACGTAAACCTAAAAAGATAAAAATGACTAATCAAAAAAAAAAATGATTTTTTAATTACTGTCTTCGAAGCTGATAATATAATCTCCTTCATAAATCATTACGAGCGCTGGAATGTTTCAACATTCAGTGCAAGATTAAGCATATATATATATATAAAATATATATATATATATATATATATATATATAAAACGATAGCGTTAGCTGCTAAACTAATTTTCTATCCGATCAAGTCACCAACTGGTTAGGTTGTCGATGATCCGAGCTGCAGTGATTTATCGATTGTTAATAAATCCCAAAAACATGTTCAACTATATTTCATTATTGCCAAATCGTTACGATCTTTTGTCAAAATCTTACAATGTCATTGATATTAGAATATTTTACCTGAATGGCCTTCGCTTTCTTCAAGTCTTGTTCACGAATAATATGAGCAAAATCAAATGAATGAACATATGCAAAGCCTTTGTCTTTATCATTTCTATCAAACAATTGTAAAATACAAATGTTCTTTTCATTGAAAGAATGAAATCGGCCCTGAAAATAGAAATGAATGCAACATCAGTATACATCATTTTACGATTAATTTATCCCCAATGAATTACTATCAATTCTTTCTGCATAAAAAAGGAGCAGTGGAAATTTAAAAGCGCTAGCAGTCAAATACGTATGTAATTTTTGACATCAATTTTTCTTACTATCTAAACATGTGGAAAAATTACCGAAAAGCTTCAACCCATCTTACCAGGCATCTTCTGATGCTTTGGGCAAATTTTGGATCGTCGCAATCTTCACGCCTAGCAGTCCGAGCCTCCCAGAACGAATTGAAGTTAGCTTCGCATGCCGCAACTGATATAACACCACAATATACCCAAGTAAGTGGACTTGCATTAAACTTTTTACAAACTGCAAAAAATATCAACTAATACATGGAAAAAAAGTTACTTACTGCCGTTAAACCATCCTAGGTTTAGAATGAATGAAATGATTCAATTATGATTAAAAATCAACAACATTAAAGTTTGTCATTTAGATAATGAATATAATGAACATACAAAAATTGATAACTAACGATTTTTATTCAAATAAACGCGACCCAAATATGGGCTCAGTCCAATGCTACTTCCAAATGTGACATTCCCTATGAACACCGGTGTTTGGATACGTAAATTCATTGTACCCGTTTTAGAGAGTGATGTGGCTGTGGGCAATGGTTCATCGATAGCTTTTGGTTTTCCGGCATCAATAAAATTACAATAGATACGTTCAAATGTCTGAAATGATAACTGTTGACAACCGTCAATTTCAATAAGTTTTCATCCTAGTTTACAAATACAAAAGCCAACTATGCAGTAATCTCCACTGATCAGTGTTATACCTTCACTTACCAGAACAGGATCCGTATTCTGTTCAACTTCAACTGAAAGCCAGTTGCTTAATTGTACCAAATCCTTATCGAAATTGCGCATAATAAGTACGCGTCCATAACCTTTCGCATGAATAATACCATAATTCATTCCCAGATCTACGTTAACAACAACACCCACAGCCACTGGTTTTATTGCTTGTTCACTCATCTTTCGGAAAATGAAACGGACTTCACTCTTCCCTACTGTTTCGATCATCCATTGTGCTTTATCACGACGAAAACAACGAAATAGCTACGTTCAACTTTCTTCAAATGATAAGAGATCACGACTTTTGCGCTTTATCCCACGTTTTTATACAACCACACCGACCTAAAATATCGCTCTAACACTTCATTCAAGAGATCTCTTGTTACTTCCTGTTCCATCCACTGCTTCTCAATCTACAATCCACTTACTGCTACCAGAAATGTCTCTCATTTAGACGGACACTTTGCAAAATATCTACATCACAAAATATATGTTACTGCATCTCCCATGATCATTCCTGTACCATTTCAGAACTGTAGCTCCAACATATATGCAAATATACGATATATGTATTACATGGAATGTACGTTCATGTAACAAAATGGCTAGGATAGATATTTTATTTTAGCGACAACAGTAGAAACTTCTGTCAAGTGTAACGTTAGCAATATAAAAACAACCATAAGAAAGAGCAAAAAACTGAGGAGCAAAGAACAACGACGAGATTGACTGATAAAGTTCACCTCCCAGATAATGTGGTCAAGTCCTATTTGATTATATGCAAAGTTGAATTAATTAGAAACCTAAGTGCTCTGAGAAATAATTTTGCTTTACCACTGTAACAAATTACGTTTAAATCCTTTTACTGCTTCCTTGCATAAAATAGGTACAGCTACAACAACATTATTTCAAAAAGATGAGCAGAATGGAAGTTATCCGAAGATCCAGATTTAAACTGAAGCTGACTGCAATCCACAGAATATTTCAGGGCCTCCTTCCCCCACTTCCAACATTAATCACTTCTTCGCTTGCCTTCGCTTACGCTTCAGCCGACGCATACGCTTTTTACGCCACTAAAAGTAAACGTGATTAAGCCAATTAATTAAAGTTTCTCCAAAAAACATCACTTCACAAGGCTACCGCAGTCTCAGATTCCAAACCAATAATTCTAAACAAATAATCTTCCCACTGTATTCTACATTTGCATAAATGGAAACTTAGAATTAAAGGCACCGTTAAAAATCAGGTTAATACACCCATCTGTTCTAGCTTTAAAAAGTGTCCAGGAAGTTGCAAAATAAACCGCGATAAAGCAGCAGCAAGAAGTTTGACAAGTTATATAGAAACTCTCGCTTACATTAACAAAACCTCATTATATCTTATGCAGCTGCAAGGTCTAAATATTAGAACTCGCTGAACGAAAACAAAAAAAAAAAAAAATCAAACCTTGTCTCTCATTTTTACGCTACTTCTCTCCTAGCAATCAATACTGAAGCAGAAAGAGCGCACAGTTTTCAGATCAAGTAAATCTGAATGATACCGAAGATTGTCCTGAAAACAAACAACGATAAAGACTGGCCTATGCTACTCTTGTTTTGTAACGGATAGTAATGAATCGGTCAAAAATACACGATTTCGAGTCAACCCGCAACCCGTAACACTCAACCTGCCAACTCACGACTCATCATTCCACCCGCCGCACTGAAGGGACCCACACTAACGGAAAGAACTGCAGCCTATAATAACAAACGTGCTTTTCTACCTCTTACCGACTTCTCTGCTAGGATTATTTGAATTTGTTGCAACTCAAAATCTATTTTAATTATTTTTAATAAATAAAAATGTAAGTAACAAAAGTTCAATTTTTGCAATAAATGTTTTTCTGTCAAAAAACCAGCGAAAAATTCACTGAAAATAAATTTAAAATTTTACGAAATTTTTTCCTAATACAAACATGATTTAAAAAATACGTAAGAAGTGTTAAAATAATGTGTTATTTGCAATGAAATTCAATGATAACATCATATGTCTCAAAGATTTTCGAAATATAAAAGTATTCATTATCATTTCACTAAATCTTTCTCTATTTTATTTAATTTAATTTAATCTTAAAGGATAACATTGTTTTGTGATATGAAAGTAAAATTTAATATATTTGTATAACAAGTATTAATTAAATTCATAAGAGATAGCTACGCATTCACAAACTAATTCGAGCAAATTGAAACTTTGAAATTAATTAAATAATCTTTATAAAAGTTTTTTTCCTCTTTCTTTTTTTTTTTTTTTTTTTTTTGTTTTTCATAATTCAATTATTGTAGGCACAATGAAAATCTACAAATTATTATTTGAAACTTAAAATTGCCATCAATTAAAGCTATGATATCTGCATGAAATATTGAATTAATAAATGTAAATTATTCTGTTTCAGCTTAAAAGTTTATTTCTTGCATTGAAATTTGAATAAAAATTTGTCTCAAAATTATTTAATTAATTACGAGCTAATATTTGATGCAATCAATTGTATTATATTAATTAACGATTTTCTTAATTAATAAGATTTTTTAAATAATTATTAATTAATTTTGAACTTTCAAAGTTGAACATTTTATATTTTAATCGTTGCAAATGGATGTTAAAATAATTTTATGATGCAATAATGCAAAGATTCTAAATTATTTTATTTTATCAGTTGACCCCAATGATAAGACAAATTAAATGCAAATTAAACTTTTAACAAACATTCTTTGATTACTTTGAAATTTACATTTTTTTTTTTTTTTGAAACTTTTCCTCCTAGCAACTTTTATTCTCATTTCAACCATTTGTGATTGTCCACTTTTCTCCAAATAAAAGTATATATTTCATTTTTTTTTTTTTTTGCATATTTTTATTGCGTATCATATTTTATTGCAAAATTTGTTATAAAAAATCAAAGAAAAAAAAATTTTTTGATCTTTTATTTTAGTTAGCAGTAAGTTTTGTGATCTTTTATAAAATATTATTACTATGAGATTTCAAAGTATAAATAAAATGAAGCAAGAAAACTTCAAAGAAATTTAATGATATGAAGTTTAACATTTGTAGATTGATGTATTGGATTACTTGATAATTATACATCTATTAATATTCAATTTATTTTGATTTAAAAATAAATAAATAAATAAAGAGATATCTCTAAAAGCTTAATTCAGCTTAATGAAATTCTTAAGAATTTAAACTTTATATTAAGTATTTTGGATTAAAACATATAGTCTTAAAAAAAATACTTTAATTTGAAACTTTTCACATTCTATTTGAACACATACCTTTTTTTTTTTTTTTTTTTTTTTTAATTTAAAATATTCGTTTATTTTATTTTTCATAATCAGTAAAAACCTTCACATTTAGTCGATTGATTTATTTCAAAAAATTCATTTGAATCAGAAATTTTTACATCTTTCAAATTTTTGTTTTCTTTTTTAATTCATTGCATTTTTTTTTAACATTTTGTTCATTTGATGAATGTAAAATCTCTGAATTATACGAAACATCATAGCTTGGCAATTTTGCCAATTGTTTTAATTTCGAACCAATTTGTCCGGAATGTTGATTAATCTTCTTTTCAAACAGAACCGGATCAGTTTTTCTGGATTTCTGTTTTTTATCATTTTGTCGTATTTTTTTCTGTAATATGCAAGAACCAGCTGCAAAACGACGATGAAATATCATTGAATCATTTTGTATTTCATCGAATTCTTTTGATTGATGAATGTTACGCCATGTTTTATCAGATATTTCTCGTGAATTTAATCCATGAATACTTTCTTTACTTGATGCTAAACAATGCATATCTTCCCTAAAATTATTATATTTTAAAAAAGAAATTAATAAATTTTTAATTAAACAATTAAATAGATATAATTAATTAAATTACTTGGTGTAATAATTTTTAAAATAATCAAATAATACAACTATTTATTCTATGATATAATAGTCATTCTAAAAATTTTGTAAATTAAAAAAAAAAAAGAAGAAATTTTTGCAAAATTTTTTTACTGAAAAGTAATATCCTTCCCTAAAATTATATTTTAAAAAAGCAACAAAAAAAAAAAAAAAATTAATTAATAAACTTTTAATTAAACAATTAAATAGATATAATTAATTAAATAATCAAATTACTTGATATAATAATTTTTAAAATAATCAAATAATCCAATTATTTATTCTATGATACAATAATAATAATTTTAAAAATTTGTAAATTAAAAAAAAAAAAAAGAAGAAATTTTTGCGAAATTTTTTTTACTGAAAAGTAATATCTTTGAATGCTTTCTGTATTTTATATTTGAGATTTGTTACTGCAACAATTAATGCTGCAATATCATTTTGAAAAATTTGCAATTCGTTATTGGTGGCACAAAGTAAGTCAATCTTTTGTAAATAATGTAGAGCAATCGAAATATTTTCTAGCAATTCTGTTACTTCAATCTATAAATGTATCAGTGATAGCAATCATTGATTATTATGATTAATTTAAAAAGTAGTAAAATTTCAAAAGTGACACACTGTGATATCTCTTTTATATCTTTTCTTATCATTAATGATATCAATAATTTTGAGGAAAAAAATTTTCCTAAGACTTAATGAAGAAAAAAAAAAATTTTTTTTCAATTGTTTAAATTTATTATTTTTTACTTCGAATTTACAAAAAAAAAAAATTTTGCTTCAGTTATTTAAATTTATTATTTTTTACTTCAAATTCAACAATGCCATATAGTTTTGGACATTTTACTGATTGATTTAGTTGAGCTGAAGGTTTAGCCGAATGTTCGTAATATTTCTTTATGCTGTAATAAAGAAATTAAATGATAAATTTGTGATAAATGATAAATTAAATGATAAATTTAATTTCCATTTATATTTTTTAAATTGTTCCTATCACCAAAACATCCATACAATAATAAAAATGATATTGATTAAATGAATGAGACAAAAATTAAACTAACCCGGCCATGATTGAAAAATAGTAGAAGATTAAAATGAATTTAAAAATATAGAGCTTATATATCAAACTACGAGATTATCTAATTTTTTTTTGTAAAATGTAAAAAAATTTTAATAATTTTTTCAATTTTAAAGATTAATAAATTTTTTTTTTTGTTGTTGTTTTTGATCCTATCGGCTTTTTTTTTGATCTTGACAAAGAAATGTAGATAATATTTAATAAATGAAAAAAGAAAAGCAAGAAGAGATAAAGTGAAAAAAAAAATAAATAAGTGAAAAATATTTAAAAAGAAAAAAAAAATTTTTAAAATAAAAGAAAGAAAAAATTTTTAAAAATCAAAATGAAGGAAGATCAAAAAAAAAAAAATAAATTTTTATAAATAAATTTTTTATTTACACCAATTTTTATTCATTTTTTCCAGCATCTTTTAAATTTCATTTACCAATATGTACATTTCATTTTATAATAAATATATAATAAATAAATAATTATATATATATATTTATAAATAATAAATACATTTCATTTTTTCAAAATAAATGGCTTTGTATCTTTGGAGTAAAACTAAAGATCAATAAATCAATAAATATTTTGCTTAATTCCAATCTCTAAGATCATTGTTAATGATCAAAAATTGATCAAAGAAAAAAAAAGTTGAAAAATTTATTTAATTCTTCGAAAAAAAGAATTTTCACATTTTTAATGCTTTTATGTTTTAATACTTTTTTTTTTCGTATTTTATACATATTTTATATTTCATATTTAATCATTTTTTAATTTTTCTCTGAATCTCATCACAAACTATTTTCTCATTATTTATATAAAATTCGCTTGCAAATTCAAAATTCTTTTTTTTTTCTCCACATTCCACATTAATCAATAAAAAAAAAAATTTTAAGTAAATAATTTAAATTACTTATTTCAGTATCAAAATAAATTTCCACTTCATATGGAATATTATTTAAATTAAAATTCGCCATACTGCAAATATTTCTTAGCTTAACAAAAAATGCAAAATAGATTTGGAGTACTTAATTTAATAATTTTATTTTTGAAATTTATAAATTCTATATATGCAAATTTTTTTGATTATCAAATATGCAAATTTTTGATTATCAAAAGAAAATACAAAAAAAAAAAAATATTGGAAAATTGATTTATTTTTCTTATTTTTCTATAGAAGTGTGGTTAGTTCTATTTGTTAAATTTATTTATTCACTCAAAAAAAAAAAAAAAAAAAAAAAAATGAAATGTATTAAATGAAAAATGAAAAAATTAGTTAATTTCTTTTGATATCATTCAATTTTTTTTTTTAATTTTCAAACTTTTTTTTTTTTCAATTTAAATAATTTTTCAGGATTAAATGAGAAATATGACTCATAAAATATTATTTTATGGTCAAAGAAATAGTAATCAATTTGAAAAAATTGAACAATTTTGCAAACCATTAATATTATCTGACGATCAATTAAGACGTGTAATGCAAGAAATGCATCATAAAATGGAGAAAGGATTAAGTGATCAACCTGACGTGAAATCATGTTTGAAAATGCTACCATCATTTGTACGAGCTATACCAAATGGTACCGAAAAAGGTGATTATTTAGCGTTGGATTTAGGTGGTACCAATTTTCGTGTTTTACTTATACGTTTAAGTGGTACCGAAGCTGAAATTACTGGAAAAATTTATGGTGTACCAGATAGTGTAATGAAAGGTACCGGAATTATGCTTTTCGATCATATTGCTGCATGTTTGGCTAATTTTATGGAGGATAATGATCTTAAAGGTGCAAATAAATTACCACTTGGTTTCACATTTTCATTTCCTGTATCACAGGAAGGTTTAACATCCGGAATATTGATGCATTGGAGTAAAGGTTTTAGCGCAAGTGGCGTACAAGGTAAAGATGTCGTTCAATTCTTACGTGATGCGTGTAACCGACGTAAAGATATAGATATAGACATTGAAGCATTACTAAATGATACAGTTGGTACCTTAATGGCATGCGCATTCAAAGAAAATACCTGTCAAATTGGTGTAATTCTTGGAACTGGTACCAATGCTTGTTACATGGAAAAACTATCAAATTGTCCAAAATTTAAAAAATTCAAATTCCATGATGATAAATATCCAAAAGAAATGATTATTAATATGGAATGGGGCGCATTTGGTGATGATGGATGTTTAGATTTCATTCGAACAATTTATGATTCACAGGTGGATGAACGAACAATTAATCCAGGTTTTCATATATTTGAAAAAATGATCTCTGGAATGTATATGGGTGAATTGGTACGTTATGTATTAGCATATCTGGCTAAAGAAAAGTTATTATTTAACGGTGATTATGATTCAATATCTCAACCACATTGCTTCCCAACAAAATATGTATCAGAAATTGAAGCTGAACAAGATGATAGTGGTAAATTTTATCAGAAAACAATGCAAATTTTGGAAGATATTGGTGTGGAAAATATTACAATTCAAGATTGTGAAATTGTTGCTTATGTTTGTTCAGTGATTAGTACAAGGTTTGAAATTTTTTTTTTTTTATAATAAATTTAAAAAAAAAATAAAAATTCTGGGGAGAGTGGAGAGGGAAAAAAAAAAAAAAAAAGAAAGAAATATTGATGTGAAATAAGAATGTGAGTATTAATGGGATAAAATTTTGTTGAAAATTTTAATTGATAATTTAATTTTGAAAAAAAAAAAAAAAAAGATCAAAATTTCAGAGCAGCACATCTTACAGCAGCTGGAATTACCTGTTTATTGAATCGTTTACAGAAACCATATGTTACAGTTGGCATTGATGGATCATTATTTCGTTTTCATCCACATTTTGCTAGAATTATGGATCAAAAAATTGATCAATTATTGCCAAAAAATTTAGAATATCAATTAATGTTATCGGAAGATGGAAGTGGACGTGGTGCAGCATTAGTTGCTGCTGTAGCAAGACGTATTAAACGTGAAGCACGTGAAATGAGCAAAATAAATTAATTGATTAATTAGCATAAATTATTGCTGCAAGTCATTATTAAATATATATTTATCGATTGCAGAAATGAAATTTAAGTAAGAAATTTTTGTGTTTAAAAAATATAAATTTTTTAAAACATAAATTAAACGTTTTGATATGTGTATGGAATTATTATTATTTGAATAAATATTATTTCAAAAATTTTGCAATAATATGGAATAAATTTGAAAGAGTGCCATTTGTCACAGCATGTACTTGACATGAAATATACAAGAAATATAATTATCACACTATCATCCATAATTATCACACTACCATTCATAATTATCATATCATCATTCATACTTATCATATTATCACTCATAATTATCACACTATCATCCACTATCATTCATAATTATCACATTATCACTCGTAATTATCACGCTATCATTCATAATTATCATATTATCATTCATAACTAAATTCTTGATATTCAAAAAATCGATTGGTGTTATCAGGAAGGAGAACAGATGATTTTCATTAATTCATTGCGTATTTAATAACAATTCAGTTTTTATAAACATAAAAAGAGCAATAAAATAATAAAAAGAATTAAGAGAAGACTGATAGTATATATACATACTTGAAATTCGAATAGAAAATGATTCATTTATGATTCGGCATTTAACTAAAACAAATCAAAATAGTAATGAAATAATAAAATAAATGTTAGATTAAAATTTTTGAAATGCTAATTTACTCAAATGTGAATAAATGATTAATTGATTCTTTTAAAATAATTACATGAAAAAATGCAATAAAATATTATTGAAAAATGGTAAATATGGCAAAAATAAATAAAGATAAATTGTAGTTAATTGCTTAAACAAAATATTATTAAAAGAATAGTTTCAGGTGAGATTACAATTTGTCACAAATAGTAGTAAATTAACTTATAGTAAGTATTATTATCATAATACTATCATTGTTGTCAGTTATATATATTCTATTCAAAACAATTTGTTCATATTGATGCTCAAATTTTAATTTTAACTTTAATTTTGCATATTAATATAATTAGCATATTAGCATTAACTTTGTAGCATTATCATTTTTGCATATAAATTAATAAATGAGTAATTATTGTTTCGATAACCTTTTATGTTAAAAAAAAAAAAATTTCAACTGAAACTGATAAGTTTCGTATTTCAAATTACTATTGTTCAGCTTAGAAGTGAATTTTTTTTCTTCAAATTTGAAAATTCTAACTTTTAGTGACTCATCGCCTCTTTATTTACATAGCAATTTTATTTTATCTAAATTACTATGCTCAATTTATCTTTCATAAATATTGCTATAGAAATCTGATATCTATCAATTTTGAAAAACACCAACAAAAAAAAAAAAAACCACTTAGTTGATGTCATCTAATCTTTAAATATAAAAATTAATATCACTCATATTTAATAAATTCAGGATGATAGAAAATTAGTAACTGATAGATGTTAAAATTTTTTTTTTTTTTTTTTTTTTTGTCCTCTTTTATTTCTATTTGAATATTAATTCAGATTACCTAACTGTTTACAATTTTACAGTCAGTCATTTTTACAACAATTTTTGAGAGATTCATAAACAAAATTTGTTAGATTGGTTTTAAAGAAGAGACAAAAATATTCCATTGCAGATGAATTGCATAAAATTCAAAAATGTTTATTTCTTGTCATATTTAAATAATCAAGCAAGTAGTGTTTTTCTTTTTTTTTTTTTTTTTCAAAAATGGCAAATTTCAACATTTCCAGGAAGAAACATTCTTTCATAAATGTAAATATAAAAATTTATGCATATGTTTCCACTGTACTAATCTGTTGTTGTTGTTGTAAAATGGGAATTTGTCGACCATGTACTGGACAATGTCTAATATTTGTAGTTCTCGGATATGCAGTTGTCCCACCGCATACCGGAATATTCGTTATTCCAATTCCGCTTCTTGGTTGCATCGACGAAATCCGATTCTTAAATTTATCGTTAAAATTAAATTCATAAGTCAAAAAAAAAAAACAATATCTAATAATATCAATAAAAGAGATTTATTAAAGAGATAAAAAAACTTTCTTATATGTAAAAAATTTGTTGCAAAAAATAAACTTACAAAAGATTGTTGAGGAATTTGTAATGATTGTCTATTATTATTTGTACAGCAATGACATAATAAGCAGCATATATTACGTGGTTCATCCGGATCACGCCTTTCCGTTTCTCGGATTGAATATATTAGAGAACCGATAATTACTAGGGCAAATGATAAGAAATATAACGGATGAAACTGAAAATTTATTTGAATTGATTTTTTAAAATATGAATTACAAAAAATTAATTTTTATCTGAAATGATCAAAATTTACATAAAATAAACAATTTAAACATGGGCTAATCTAGATCATTTTAAAATTTTTAAAAAATTAAAATTAAAAAAACTTTTTTTTTTTTTCTTCAATAGATTAATTATTTTGCTAATGTTAATAATTTGTTTTTTTTTTTTTTTTTTTTAAAAAAAAAAGCATATAACTTACTTCATATTTAAACATGAATAAGCCAAAAACAAGAGTATAAAAATCGGCAGTAAGTATTGATAAGTTGAACATAAGAGCGGAAGACTTTTGTACAACTACACTGACCATTGAATAGAATAGAAACATACATGCAGCAAATAAAAGGTAGTATATTATGATCATTCCTGACCAATTAATTGATGCTAATTGACGATGCTCTAAAGTAGCGCTGAAATATTGTTTTATCAGATATAAAAAAAAAAAAAAAAAAAAAGAAAAAATTAATTTCATACTTTAATCATTTTAATATGTGATAAACTTACAGTTGTATACCAGAGATGATTGAGCCAAATAAGCCAACCATACCAAGATATTCAATTCGACTATTTTGTTTCACCAAAAATTCCTCACTAACATTACCAATTGCATATAGAACTGAACCAATCAAACATAATACATCACCTAATACTCGATTAGAATCTGAAAAATTTTATTAATGAATTGAAAAAAAATGAAATAAAATTAAATTTGCATTGAAAATAAATTACAATCTGTTCATTATGATAGCATTATTGCTACTAGATTATGTCATCAATTTTATAACTGTATTATCACTACTAATCACTTGTATTTCTGATATATTTATTTAAAGAAATGCATATATTTGTATTTTTATTTTTATATATGCTAAAAAGTAAAACAAACAATAGAATTCCTTAAAATATAGTGAGTAAATTTTCCTTTTTTTTTTTTTTTTTTTTTTTTTTGATCAAGAAAAGTAGTAAGTTAATAAATTAAAATAACTAAAAGAAAATATTAAAAAAAAAAAAAAAACCTAAATTTCAAATAAAAATTTTCGAAAAATAATTAAATTTAAGTTCCTTTAAGCAACATAATTGATTATCTTTGCTAAATCATTAAATGAGGAAAATTATGACAAAAATGTAAGCACTATTCATAACATGTGTAACTTTTTTTTTTTTTTTTTTTATATTCATAAATGCTTCAATTTTTATGTTTTAATTATATCTATCTCGTAGAAGAATAGTTAAGAAAAGAAATGTAAACAACGAATAAGAGGAGAAAAATAAATTTTTTGAACACAATTTCATCAAATATGTCCCTGTTTTGTAAATCTGATGTTTTAATTGAAAATTTTTTATTGCTACTATTTGTTCCTACTTTTTAGCTGATTCTTTAATGCTCTTATTGTTTGATCATAATTTTGATAGCATCATTTTATGATACTAAAAATGATGATGGTAATCCTTTATTATATCAATATTTGTTTTAATTTCTTTTTTTTTTAATTACTCAAAGATGTATGTAATGTAATTTTTCTATTTTGTCTATTTTAAAATCAAAATTTACCACCAGAAGTACCCTTTCCTTCCAAAGCATCAGCCCAAATAAGAACGGTAATTCCGACAAGACATATTCCAACACCAATTATATGTGTCAAGAGGTAGCGTGTAGAAAGGAATAACCACGATAATAGTAATACCATCGGTATCGTTGAGCAATCCAGCAACTAAAATATTGATAGTTAAAATTTGCAAAAAAATATTATATAATCATTCATGGAGAAATAAAATACTATAAAATATTCGAAATTGATAAGAGAATACTAAAATACTAAATTTTTTTTTTTTTTAAAAAAAAAGAAAAAAAAAAAAAAACATTTATTTGAAAAAATTCGAATAATAATTGAATGTAATAGAAAAATTACCTGTACACTAGTCAAATTAGTAAACTGATAAGCATAAACAATGATATAGTTAGCTTCAACATCCACAATAGCTAACAGCAAATAGCGCCATCCACGTTCCCTGAGCACTGGTAAAAATGCATTCTCGCCTTTTCGAAATACTAGCGCTGTCCCATAAATTGATGATAATAGGAAATAGTTAAGAAAACTTTGAGCTGTAATTTAATTTTTTGCAACTATATGCAAATGTTTACAAATAAAAATTTACTTATAGCATTTCTTTTATTTATTTATCTTTCAATTTTTTTTCCACATGCAAACAATAGCTAATGATAAATAGTTTTAGATAAGTTAAAAATATTTACTTTTAACTTAAGACCTATTATATTTAATTATATAGATGCAATTTTTCACATAAACTAAGACAATATGTTATGAATTTATTTTTGATATTTGAGGTTATTCAATAATTCTAATGCAATTTCAAAACTAGTAAATTTCATAGTTACATCCAATAAAAGTTTTATTTTATTTGAAATTCATTTCTAATGTTAAATTGGTACCTGTGGGAGTATTTACTCCTCTATTACTGAGTAACTGACTACCAACGCCTGTACCACATAAACATAATGACAAAATTTGTCCATAAACAATATTTCGGAATGTCCGCCTCAAATAAAATTATTTCAAATATTGTCACTGAATTTTTTACAATTAGAATGACTATTTTCTTTTTTTTTTTTTTAAACTTTCAAAAAAAAAAAAAAAAAGAAATCTGAAAAACTAGAATGAAAGAAAAAGAAAAAAAAAAAAAAAAAACCTGAAAACATCGTTACTGCAACAAGGTGAGCAATCAATTCCTTCTTCTTCTTGATAGGATGCTATTGCACCTGATTGTAGAGGTGTTTTTAGCGTGGTACCCATTTGGTTTGTTGATGGTCCTGTATAAGAAGTACCACTACCCATTGGTATCATACCATTTGCTGGTAAATTTTTACTAGTAATAACCTGTGGTGCCGATGATTGTTGTGATGACATAACTGTATAATAATTCCTAAAAAAAAATAAGAGTTATTTCAGTGAATGATTTGCTATGACTAATAACTATTAAATCAATAGTAAATTAGACAAGTTAAATTAAATAAAAGTAATAAATTGAATAATAGTCTAAGTGTAAACAATCGATAAATCATTCGAAATGATTTCATTTCTATTTTGAAATTTTTTTCATAAAAAATACTTATAATCTTTGTTCAATTTTATTTCAAATTAAAGTGCCAAAAAAAAAAGAAAAAAGAAAAACCGTTCCACACAACGTTTGACTAACATTTCACTATGATTTCATCTATGTCTGATTGCAATTATATATTATCAATTGCATTTCATATTGATGACTTTACACCTTTATCAATTCTTGCTAATCTTTGATTTTTTTTGTTTTGTTTTGTTTTGTTTTGTTTTTTTTCCACAAATATAACAAATTTTTTTTTTTTTTTGCAAAATTCACATAAAAAAGTATAAAATTAAAAATATGAATTAGTAATTTGATCAAAAAAAAAAAAAAAAAAAAAAACAATAATAATCAATATAATTTGGTGATAATTAACCAAAAATTAACAAAGGTCAAATTATAGGAATTGAATTAAATTAAATAGAATGCAATCAATTAATCTTAAATGAAAAAGTTTTTTATTGGAATTTATTATATTTCATTTTTAATATCTTTTATTCATTTTTTTTTTCCTCTTCTTTTGTCATTTTTTAATTTTCTTTCTTTCTTTCGTTCTGTTTGACTTAAAAAAAAAAAAAAAAAAAGTGTCAAACATCATTTTGGGCATCTTTTGAAAGAACTTTTATAAAACATTATCATATAAGTTTTTTTTTTTTTTTTTTTTTTTCAAAAAATTAAAGTCCAAATATTTACAATAATTTATTCTAAAAGTAAAAAAAAAAAAAAATTGTCATGAAATATAACATAAATATTTTCCAGTTTTGCCTTCTTTCAGCCTTTTCTCTTTACTTTTGTCCTTACATAATAATACTTTTCAAATGATTTCTTTAAAGGTTAAAAATACCATTTTGTACTTTTTGCAAAAAAAAACTTTTATAAAACATTATCATGTAATTTTCAAAAAATTGAAATACAATTTTGAAATTATACGTGGTAGCAATAAAAGAAAGTTATAATTTGAAGTGAAATTTTTTTAGAAAAAATATTTTGTTTTAATTTGATAGCTTTTGAAAATTAAATCTATATAAATCAAAATTAAAAAAAAAAAAAAAAAAAAAAATATTATGGATTGCTTGAAAATTATAGAAATCTAAAAACTCAAAACTGAAAGTATAAATAAGAGCTAACTTGTTATATCCATTGAAAAAAAAAAAAAAAATAAAAGAAAAGAAGTTTTAGGATAAAAGACAGAGCACCATAAGAAACTAAGTCAATAATGAAGGGAAAAATAAAAGACAAAAAGGAAACCGTCCAATTAAAATATAACTTTGCTATCATTTCTTCAAATAAATTTAACAAAAAAAAAAAAAAATTGGGAAGAAATATTTATTTATTTCATAACTATTCCTATCCCAAATATATTTTACCAATTAATAATGATCAAATTTAATCAATTAATTTCATTACTAATTTAAAATTCTGATCAAAAGTAATATGCAAAAATTTAGATCATAATAATAATAAGTTGACACTTGATTTTTTTTTTTATTATATGATTTGAATTCTTTGAAAAATCCGAAAAACAAAATCAATATATCTTTATGTACAATAATTGCATTGAGTTTTTTTTTTTTCTCTTCTGAATTTGTACAAAATTAAAAAAAAAATCTAACTACTGCTTTGTAAATTTCATAAACAAAGAAAAAAGAAAACAATTTCAGATAAATCAATTCAAAATTAGCATAAATTAAAGAAAAAAAAAAACAATGAAATTTATGAATCACATTAGCTTGTTTACCTATGTTTTGGACAATTAGCGCCAATAATAGGCCTTCGTTCTGATAGTTGCCACTCGATAATGGACGCTGATTCTTGATTTAAACTTTTTGGAATTAAACCACGTTCACGTGCGTGCCAAGCGTCAATGGAATGTAATTGACATCGATCACTTTGCGTAGATGACGGAATAACTGGCAAATGCCAGTTACAATATTCTGGCAAATTGCTGGAATAACGAATGTCACCGCCGCGAGTTCTTTCCACTACAATTCAATTTCTCTTTTATTTCAATTATTAAAGCAAAAAAAAAAAAAAAAAAAACAACCAATCATTGATATTATTTTCATACAAACACATTTTTATGATCGATGTCACATTTGACAAATTATTTAATTTGTTAGCATTTAAAATAAAAATGAACTTAAATTTTAATTTCAAAAGTAAAAATATTTTTTTTTTTGTTACAATAAGCGATTAAATTTATAAAAAAAAGAATAACATTTTACTATTTTTCAATTCTTTTTTCCTTTTTTTTTTTTTTTTTTTTTTTTTTTTGCAATGTCTTTAATTTAAATTATAAAATTACAAAACAAATTTCTATCAATGATATAAATGATAATTAAAATAATTCATTTTAAAATTGAATATTTTAGTTATGAAAAGTTTCTTTCTCCCTTTTTTTTTTTTTTGTTTTAAATAAAAAGAAAAACAAATGATATGCAATGAATCTGTTCCACTCACACATGTCTATGCACTTTTATGAAAGAAAAATAAATGACGGTCCTGTTTTTTATTTTTTATTTTTTTAAAAAAAAAAAGAAGCCAAGATGATCCTAATTTCTATCTTTTTTTTTTTTTCTTCTTCTTTAAATTTCATATCAATTCCCTTGACAATAGCATTCGTTTTTCTTCCTTTTCTTTTCTTTCTTTCTTTTTTTTTTTTTTTTTTCAAAATAAATCATAAGAAAGAGAAAATTTACTCAGTTAACGATTCTTTAAAAATTTACTCTAGTTCCTGATTTATTTTTGAAATGGATGATTACAAGTACAAAATAAACGTCTAGCTTTTTTTTCTTTTTTTTTTTTTAAATATGTCTTCAAAAATTGATTAAAATTAAAAAATTTTAGAGTAATACTTTATCATGTTAAAGCTAATTAATTAAGGTAGCAAAATTTAATGAATCCTATATATTTATCATAACAATAAGAAAGTATACATTAGAGATATATTCTAATTACTGCAAAAAAGGAATGAATTAGAGTAAAAATTTTGTAAAAAGTGAAGAAATTTTCCGGAAATAACAATGTTATTATTCAGCATTATTTGTTAGTTAAAAAATAATTCCTTAAATTAATGTTTAATTTCATATATGAAGAATGTATAGAATTTGGAAATTTTAATATCATAATAATTAACCAGGGAAAAAAAAAAAAGATATAAATTTTCCGTTTTAGGCCTAAATCCTAAATTTTGGTTCAAATTTGATGCATGTCAACAATTTCAAATTGATGAAAGGATAAAATATTTTTATACAACTCTTATGATAGTACTAATGACAATATCCTATCCCTATTGAATAACTTTTTTTTTTTTTTTTGAATATTTTAAGTATAAATTACAATCACCTTTTAAGTATAAATTAAAATCATCTAGAAGGACAGAATTGATCAAAGAAAAAGTAAGAGAATTAGCAATTGAATAAGTTTTAAAAAAATTATACACGGAAAAAGAAAAGCAAAAAATGATCAGAAACGATCAAACTCTGATAATTTCAAATCTGATAAACTCAAATCAATTGATAATGCTAATATTACAAAATGACTTTTTGTTATAAATAATTTTTGGTGACTTTAACAGAATAATTAGATAATATTAAAACATTATTAGTAAAATAACAATTAAACTTTAAAAAGATTTATAAATAGCATTGCACGCTGCGATAATTATGCAAATGATTTGAATATTACTTCGAATTGAAACATATTTTGAATGAATGTCATATTATCTTCTAAAATATTATTTAAAATTTTGTCACTTTAAAAAAAAAAAAAAAAAAAAAAAAGAAAAAGACCAATAATTGTTCTTTCCAAACATTTGATGAGTGATAGCTTAATTTAAAACATAAAATGTAGACGATAGCTTAGATAGTTAATTTTTTTAAATTTTTTGGTATAAAATTTCTTCAATTATAAAATTAATTTATTATAGCAAAATATGTAACTAAAACACAAATAAAATTTTTTCATAGAGAAATTATAAGAAATCATAATTTTTGACTTGCTTTAATAGTGAATTTTAAATGCCAAAAATAAAAGAGATAAACAATTTGGAATGATAAATATGAGAAATATGTTGTGTATCTCTTTTCATATACAAATCACAGTAGCTGAAATGAAAATAATTATTGCTTCGTCTAATGGTTATAAATAAAAATTTATGATTATGAGAAACCAGAAAAAATTGTTTGTTTACATTATTGTTGTTGAAAATTAAACTAGAATATAAAAATTAATGGTAATTTATAATACTATAAAATTAAACTAGAATATATATATTTATAATACTACAAAATTTTTAGGATAAAAAAAAAATATCATATTTGCATATATTTAGAATTTCAACCAATTTATAGCTTAAATAAGGTATGATTAGCATAATTTGAATGATCAAAATAAAAAAAATTCAAAATTTAAAAGTTATAGGAGGAAAGGAACATAAATTAATGAAATATTAATGAATATGAAATTATAGCATAAAATTGTATGCAATGATATTGGACGATTATTTTCTCATTTTTTTTTTTTTTTTTTTTGATAAATACCTGATAATTTCGAATATTTTAAAAGATACATTAGCAACAAATTGTTAAAATCAATATTGACACAAATTTTAAACAGAAATTAGTCCATCACTCAGATTAAATGATGGAAATTAAATAATGGAAGAATTGAAATAAAATAAAATAGCTCTTATCACAATCAATTCAAATAAAGATAGAATAATAGTTAAATTTCATTGTAATCAAAAAAAAAAAAAAAAATGCTTTATCTTTCAATGATAGATGTAGAAAATTTGAAGAAATTACTATTTTTGCAAAATATCATCATCATTTTCATAAATTTTCAAAGTAAAGAATAATTGAGTGAAAAATAATCATTGCATTAATAAGAAATTAATTAGGAAGGAAGGAAGGAAGTAAATTTTTCTTTTAAAAAATTTTCAAAAAAAAAAAAAAACTTCGTGTCAAAACTTTAAATGATTGTCAAACAATTGACAATCATTTAAAGAAGATATTAAAGAAAAACAATCAATCATAATTAAAAAAAAAAAAAATTTTTTTTTTTTTCAATCATATTGCATAACTTTTAAAAAAAAATCATAACAATTATATTATTTTAATAAATTTCATTTACTTTTTTGATGTCATTTATCATAATAAATTAAATTTTAAAATTAAATTTAAAAAAAAAAAAAAAAATCTTAGAAAAAGATTTTGCAGATCACTTCAAAGAGATATATTATATGTCTCGAGAGCTAAATAACACTCCACAATGTTCTTCATTTCAAATGTTCATTTTGCTGTATCTTTGAAAAGAAAAAAAAATAGCAAATCTACTCCTAACGTGTGTGTATGTATGTATGTATGTACGTGTATGTATGTATGTACGTGTATGTATGTATGTACGTGTATGTGTATATGTATGTATGTGTATATGTATGTATGTGTATGTAATGTAATATAATGTTTGTTGCAGAATGCAAAACCCAATGACGATGCATTGCAAAATATTTTCAAATTCTTTAATGCTGATAAACTCTTCGATTTGTTTACAAACATTGATGAATGATAAACTCTTCGATTTGTTTACAAACATTGATGAATGATAAACTCTTCGATTTGTTTACAAACATTGATGAATGATAAACTCTTCGATTTGTTTACAAACATTGATGAATGATAAACTCTTCGATTTGTTTACAAACATTGATGAATGATAAACTCTTCGATTTGTTTACAAACATTGATGAATGATAAACTCTTCGATTTGTTTACAAACATTGATGATGTGAATTTAATTTCTTGATCATATCCATTTATCATCAAAGTTTATCACACAATGCTATCAATTCATAGTGCACTTACAAATATCAACAAATTTTATGAGAAATAGCAAACATTATAATTAAAACTATCGCTATATAAAAGTTTAATTTGAAGTTTATATGATATTTTTTTAAATATTTTTATTGTTTATAGTTAATCTTTGCCTAAATTTCCAACATACATACATTAACTGAAATGAGAAAAGAAAAAAAAAAAAAACTCTGACCTTTGATATTTCCTTAGTTTAATAATATCAATAACAGAATAATTAGAACCATTATTAACAAAAATATGAATATTAGATACCACACCAGATAATAATTACATTTTCTTATTAACCTGAAATTCTAATATATTTATCATAAGATTGTTAGACGAGTTACACGTATGCTATAAGCAGGTACATACATTTACGTGTACCGACAAGTTACACGTGTACTGATATGACTAGTACACTTTATCTAAGTTAAAATTCTTTCACCGAACAGATTGCAACAAGAACTAAACAAAGAGTAATAAAGTAGAATAAATTAAAACAAACGAGGAAAACGTTAACTACTGTTTAGAGATGAGACAACGGAAGTAATACTATTTGATTGTTGATGAAGGTTAGTGAAGTAATACTTTAAATTAACATTTGTTAGAATGCTATCGCTCAATTCATTGAACAAACAAAATGACTACTTCTTCGAGAATTTCCTCGAGAATAGACCAACTCTTCTTTCATTTATATAACAAACAACAAAAAAGGAACAAAAAAAAAAAAAAAAAAAAAAGCAAAGAAAGAAAGAAGCCAAGAGGTCCACCTGCCTAAACTTGACCAAGCCTATTCAGGACTTTTTACATCTATCAGAATCAAAATATATAATGCTCTTTTTCAGAGAGGCACAACTAAAATGAAAAAGAGTCTAGTCTATCCTACTTCATCACTTTTCTTCATCTTCTACTCCTACTCCTGGGCCTATTGATTATTACTTGGACTTTGCTAGCCTTTCTATCTTAAGCTTAGTTATTATGCCAGGAAAAAAAGAAGAAGAAAGTTGCAAACTGATAGTACACCATCTGATAGTAACTGACAAACTATCACAGACCTTTTTTGTCCTTTCCCTCCCTCCCTTTCTCTCTCTCTCTCTCTCTCTCTCCTCTCTCAAGGATTGAACTACCATTGCAATTAAAGAATAAATAATAATAACAGTAGTAATAGTAATAATAATAATAATAGTAACAATTAATAGCAATAACAGTAGTAATATTAAAAATATTAGCAAATTAATTGATAGTAATAATAACAATAACAATAACAATAATAATAATAATAATAATAATAATTAATAATAATTGATAATAACAAACAACAATGATAATAATAAACGAATAATTAAGTAATAAATAAATGCATGAATAAATAATAGTAATATTAATAATATTAACCAATTAAATGATAGTAATAATAATAACAATAACAATAATAATAATAATAAATTAATAATAATAATAATTAACAATGATAATAATAAACAAATAAATAACAAATGAGTGCATGAATAAATAGATTAATTAAATAATTAATTAATTAACTGGCTAAACAAATATATACATAAGTAAATAGATAATTAAACAATTACTTAAATAAATAAATTATTTAAATAATATCTCTGTGTACGACTCAATTTTTACTGACATTAAATCTTTGAAAAGAAGAAAAGAAAAAAGAAAAAAATTTCGTTTTCATCATTTATCATCTAATTACTTCCTATAACATAAGCTGTAGAAAAATATTATAGTAATTTTGAAATTAAAGTTGCGCATTTCAGGACAGAAAATGAGGAAAAGAAAGAAGAATGATCTCTATGAGAGAATTAGTCAAATATTTGGATGAGAGTTTTTTAATAAACAAAAATTTAGGTAAAGAATTTGCAAAAGTAATTTCATCAATAACGACTGATGAATGAAAGATACAAATAAAAAAAAAAATTTTTTTTGTTTAATTAGTTTGTTATTTATAAAAAAAAAAAAAAATAAAATATATGTAAACAAAGTGATATGAAATTTTTGATTGTATCATTTTTTAGTATTATTATAATTTTACGAATTTAGGCAATTCTAGAAAAATGAAACACATTAATACTAAAGTGATACTTGAATGTAACAAAAATATATGACAGAAAGATCGAAGAAAAAAAAAAAAAAGAAAAAGATTAATTCGTCTTTTCCAGTAAAATTCACTTTTGTCTCAACTGAAAATTCTGTTTGTCTTTGTTGCATTTAAAATTTGTCACCAATAAATTGTCACCAATAAAAATTCTTTTACTTATAACAACCAGTAAAATTGCAAACGTTTTAACGAATAAATTCAGAATATTTATATTGATATATGATAAACTAGAGTAATAAATTCAGAATATATTGGTATATGATAAAGAAATAAATGATAGAGAGGGACAAGAGAGAGAGAGAGAGAGAGAGAGAGCTAACATTCTCTCTCAGAGAAATTTGCATCAATGAAATCGAGACAGAGGGAACTTCTGATATTGTCCAGAGTTTAAATAATCCTATCTTGGATGACTACTTAATCTTTAACAAATAATCTGAACACTAAATAACTAACTATAGCCTACTCAATTCTCACGTAAGTAAATTTACGGAGAATTTACCATCGATCACGTTACAAATTCTCGACAATCGCTATTCGATTATCAACCTAACCTGAATTAGTTTTATCTCTCTTTTTTTTTTTTTACGTGAAGTTTATGGATGGATTGCATTGGAAGGTTTGTTTGTTTGTTTTTTTTTTTTTTTCCTTCTATTTTAAGTGTAACATTTCTCCATTTTCTCAAGTATTTTTTTTTTTTTTTTTTTTTGAATGATAATGGAAATTTTCTTTGGAAATAAAAATAACATCTGGGATTGAGAGTTAATAATTGAATGAAATTACCATAAAAAATGAAGTCACTTAATTTAAATTATTACAACAAATAATTTGCAGCTGCATAGTTCGTCGTGTAAAAAAGAGAATTTAATTTGATATTATTGATCGATGTTCACACAATTCATTTCATTGTTCACAATTACATTAAAAATTTGCTGTGCATAAAACTTTTGAAAAAAAAAAGTTGAATTGGCTTCCCAAAGGAATTCTCAATGCTTTCTGTATCACTTTTCAAACGTCTCAGTAATCTTACGAACAATACAATTTTGCAATATCGGGTGAGTAAGTGATTTCAAATTTTAATTTTATCATTCGAACATAAATTCAATTACTTCTAATTCTGTGCTTTTTTTTTTCTTCCATCGAACTTATTTCTGGAGTACTAAGTTTTTTTTTTTTTTTTTTTTTTTTTTCATTTCACTGATTATTTCTTTGCTGTTAAATGACTTTTCTTTATTATTGTTTGTCCCACCTGCGAGAGTTTGATTTATTTGTATCTTAATGATAGATAATTTCTCTTGATTCAATTACTTATTGTTGTAGTTCACATGGGTTCTACGGAGAGTTCTTACTCCAGAACCAACACAGCCGGGATATATGCAACGAAATCCGGCCGAACATCCAGATCTTATGAAGCTGGAAGTTGTAGAAATTGAGGATTTGAAATCACCTGGACCTCTCAAAGTTATTTTACTCAAAGATGTAGAAGGTTAGTTAATAGATAAGATGCAGCGTTTTGATTTATCATGTAAATACTAAGCGCATTCCAAGAATTGCAACGTTTCCGTATGATAAAAAAGAACATCAGTTACATGCTATCATTTTCTATAACTTATTAAAACACAGAAAGTTTTCCTGGACTGACTTATATTTGATTTATCTCCTAGAGAATTTTTAACGAACAAATTTCATACTTTTCAAGTATGTTATCTGCAAAGTTCGATTATCCGTAGAACTTTTAATTACTGAGTGAATGATCCAAGTAATCTAAAATGGTTTTGTGGATTTTTTTGGTTACCAGTTAATTACATCTACGTTAGTAGTATGAAAACAGGAAGTAATTAAGAAGGAATGAATTAAATATTGTTTTTGAAATCTTTAGTTTTAAATTTTAGTTTTTAAGTTTAAGGTATTGGTAATCAGTTTGATGTTGTTGAAGTGAATCGTCGACTTGCACGAACAAATTTGCTGTTAACACAGAAGGCAGCATATGCTTCACCATTCAATTTGCAGTATTATGCAGAGATGAAGGAGGTTTATTTTGCTATTTTTTGACTGCAACTAATGGAAATTTGATGATCTTAGAAATGAAGATATAAGGTGAAAAAGGATTGCTTCATGTGCTTTATTTTCAGAAAATGAAAGATGAGTTGGAAAAACGGATTCGCATTCCATACGATTACATATTACTTGGAAGAGAACTAATCAAAAAAGTCATATCTTTACGAGTTTCTATGGAAAATCCGTGGTTATTAGATAAATTGGTCGTTAAGGCTTCGTTGCGACAAGAGGTGCTTTTCATTGTTTTTGGATTATCTTATCCATTTTTAGAAAACTAAGTACTCTGTTTCACTTATAATTCATGATTAGCAACTGACCGGACCGACTTATTGATCTTATGTTTAATTTTTCATTTTTTTTTTTTTTTTCTCATCTTACGCTCAATAAACCTCAGTATTCCTTAAATATCTCATCTTATGCTTAAATCTCAGTATCCACTAAATTGAAATCCAAGATTATTTTTGTTTCCTTTTCTGTATTCATACCTTTCCTTTGTAAAAAAAGATTTATTTGTATATCATATTTCAATGTGAATGATGTTTTAGGGAGTTGAGATTATAGATGACATGATTTTCCTCGAGAATAAAAATTTGAGAGGACCGAACATCGAATTGGAAGCTCATTTGCTACGATTTTATGTGGTTGTTTGTAATCAATATATTATTCCGATGATTGGTCGCATTTGCCATACTTCATCAGACGAAAGTAAACAGGTACATTACATTACTTGTGAAGCTCAGATGCTTTGAATGCTCTAAGAAGATAATGATGAGATCCTCTGCGGTTTTTCTTAAGAAAATTTTTAGGAAGTAAATACTTTTTTACTTCTTGAACACTCTTACACTGTTTTCTTTTCGAGATCTGAAAGTTGTAATATTATAGGTACTTTATCCTGAAACAACTCGAATGCCAACTAAGGAGGATTTCAAAAAATATGGCATAGTCGAAGAGCAGCCATATTTTACGGAAAAAGCAGAAATCCTAGAAGACTTCGATGTTGTTGGTCTTATGATGCAAAGGAGACAAGATAACAAATAAAAACTGTAGGTCATCAAGTTGACCATAATTAGAATTGCCCAGCATACACTTTCAGTAGTACAAAGAGGATAAACATAATCCTAAAGATTCTGATGCTGTGGAGTATACTAGACCTCTGGAAATAAAAGTTTTATTAAAAAATCTGCAATAAATTAACCATAACCAAATAATGCAGCATTCATTACTTGGGAAATATAATACAGAACGTCAAAATGTTGTAGGAATCCGATTAGCTCCCGCAGCTAAAACTGATAACAACATGAACATAATACCAGTATCAATCGCTTTAAAATCAGTAATAACCAGTAATTCCATCTAAGAGAAAAAGGAACTTTAAATAGTTTTGTAGTCTAACTTTATGCTGAAGAACTGAATCGTTTTCTGTAAAGTGGAGGGATTTACTGGTTTCAAATATTAAACAAAGAAGGCCTCCGAATATATCGGCAACTCTACATCAAGCATATCAATTCAGGAACTCAAAAACATATTTCAGTAAAGTTAATCTCTCATTTAAATATATTTGAATTCATAGAGATATTAAAAAAAAAAAAAAAAAAAATGATAAAGCAGTGAATAAACCCAGGCACTGCTCAAAGTTGGACTTACAATGTCGCAGTCGCTCTCCCAATAATCATTACATATAAAACTATATAAAATGACAAAATCCAACAACGAACATAAGTTAAAAACAAAAACAAAAAAAAAAAAAGAACGTCATATGCACAGTAAGTTAATATCGTCGACTACGTACCCTCTCACGCCAATCGTCACGAGATCGATCGCGCGGTGAACGTTCGCGTCGACGATCGCGTTTTGCGCTTGGATAGTGCCCTGCTTCATCTGCATAACGACCTCTGCAAATATTTCGTGCAAAGGCAGTAAGTTTATAGTGATGAATTTTCTACTAGTAATGTTCTTTGGAGTGACTATGTTTCTCCTTCGGTGATTACATAGTATTCAAGATTTCTTTCTGAAGGCCTCAGGAATTCAACCATGAAACAACAGGAATAGAGATCAACTCTAATCACGGGAAGCCATAACCTGAAACGAACATGTGATTCATAGGAAAAGTGAAGTACCTGCGTCCAAAAAGCCTTTCTCCCAGCTCCGGACTGATTGCTTTCAGATGCATAAAATTGCAAAATCCACCCTTATAACAAGTGGTCACTTCATGTTGACGGCAACGCGATTCTCGAAAGTCTGTCACTGGTGAGAGCTCTGCGTATATTGGTTGTCCGTTAAACCTGAAATTTCAAACTTTTTAATTATGTTAAAGGAATAGATTTGCCAAAAAGAAAAGGTGCCAAAACTACTAGTAAATCAAATAAAAATCAGCAAAGAAAAAACAGGTTGCACTAACTCACCTAAGGAATAACTCAAAGCCACAAAGAAAGGGAGTTACCCTAACCAACAACAATTTACCTTTTTAGGGACTGTCACTGCATCAGAGAATGTATGAGATATCTAAATTAGGATTAAATTAGTGAAACTAAGGACTGAATGAGTGTTTATGCTGCTCACTAAATTCTTGAAATTTCATTAAATTTACATATTCCTGGCCGATCCAGAACATAGTACTGCTTTCCGGAAAGAAGATTGCTTAAGAAGTTGCACTTTTGACTACAGAATTTGTGTTATGGATCTAAATATAATTGAATCAGATGCAATATCTAAAAAAATGGTTGGTAAGATTGCTGCTGTAGCAATGAGCCATTTAATTTGGATTCGCCAGGTACCGCTGATAGAGCGACGTTGAGAATCTAAACAAGTTGAGCATCAGTTTTCGATAGGAGAACGGTTTACAAGAGCATGCTTATGCAACTTCTTACCCTATTCTGGAATTCAGAATGAAGTTTTATCAACTACACCACTTTCTTGGTAACCCTGAAAAAGTGCTCAAAATCCGGGTCCAAAAAATCGAAACGGGAAGAAAAACAAAATTTTCACGATGCCATAGAATCTATATGACAACCTGAAACATGCAATGCGGGGGCTTACGAATGTATAACAGTTAGAATACAACTATTTCTGTAACTTACCATCGATTTTCTAGATCCTTCACAGCTTTTTCAGCATCTTCTTCCCGCAAGAATTTCACATAAACATTGCCGATCATATGTTCACCGATATTTTCACAAACATTCATCTCATCTATTTCACCATACTTCTTTTCCAGTTCAGTGAACACCTAGAATGTTCCAATAAATGCCTCCAAAAATATTAGTAAATCACTCCAGCTAGTTTTAGATTATCAAAAAATGATCTGATAGAATTTTCATGAATTGCAGCCCGGAAATCTCTAAAAAAATGTCATGAAATCTTCACAAAGTTTGTAACAGAAAGACCGAAAATAAAAATAATGTTACTACTCACTTCTTCATAGAACTCATCAAAATAAGCTTGCTCCTCGTCATTCTTCTTCCCAACCTCTGAAAACGTCTTAATATACTTTTTATAAGAGATAACGGTTCAACCAAACTCTTCAAAACATAGCAGAGGACTGAAACTTACTGTCGAAAGCATCTGCCTGACGCACGTCAACAATCGGATTATGGTAAAAATTTTGAAGTAAAACGGTTGGCGAAAATGTTGGTCGATGATGAGTTCGTGAGCACTTATCACCGTGACGACAGGCACCAATCTACAAAAATAAAATTTTCGAAAATTTGCAACGGACATGAAGATCTTTAATGTTCACAATAAACACTGCCGTCAACAGATCATCTTGCACAACTTTTTGCTGATTTTCATTCCACATAAAAATATAAGTGTTGATTTAGCACCAACCTTAAAGTAGAATGAACAATTAACTTTATCTTTTTCAGTACCATAAATAGAAGCCAAATATTCAGCGCCTGAAAGTCCTTCTGTTTGTTGATAACCATATGATCCCGTTCGTCGACTAGCCATCAATCTTTTTGACTCTTACTTCTCTGCTCAGTTCTGAAATTCAAATTTATATATTCCGTTACAATTCAACATTCTAGTAATAACGAAATTAATTATAATGACTGCATACTTCTGCTACAGCTACACGTTTCAGTACAGTTTTTTTTTTTGCAATTTTCTTTAAAAGCATCTAAACCAACTAAACAGTTAATCTTTTCTCTAAAAAGGATCAGTGACGTATAAAACTGAATAATTCTCTCTGTACGTCACATAGACGACAGTCACACGTATGCCCACGTACGCCATAACAAAATAACAAAAGTAACAGGCACGAAGTGTCACATTCATAAAGAATGCTTAGTAGATAGTAACCTAGCGGATTTCGTTTCAAAAGCCTAGTTTCTAAAGAAGCTAAATATGAACCTCATTCATACCGCCAAAATGGCAATGGAGTGTGACTGTTGCGCTCCTTCAAGTTGTGGTGCTATTCGATGCGCGCTAACATTAAAAATGATCAGTGAAGTTAAAACTAGAAACTGGTAATTTTAGCATATTTTGAGGTTTATCCTAATTTCATATGCGGGTTTAGAAGAATGGGAGAAACAAGTGGAAGATTAATTATCAGATTAATTGAGTTGAATGAATGATAACGAAATAATTAATTGCCTAAATATTTCATGTTAGCTATATATATGAGTACAGATTGTTTACCCTACCGCAATTATTTGACAAATAATAGCATAAATAGGATGTGGAAACATAGAATGTTGTTTAAGATGCAATGCGCACTGTCCGTGAAAATGTTACCTATTCGGCTGTTGGCATAGACTTTTTGCTCCCTCACAGTATTGATTTGTTAATGGAGATGATGTAATGCCTGTATCTAGTTAGTTCCTTCTTTCCCTCCTCAGATAACGGTCACTCTTCAGTGACATTGTCATTGAAGGAGTAAAAGTATGCCTTGTCACTTGACATTGCCCTCTCTTTCAATGATAGTATCTCTTCCTGTAGGAGTTAGCAAGCGATGTAAGCTTACTACAGAAATCATTATCCTTACCTTTCCCGGCGGGGAAGTAGTGGTACTTGTATCTTGCCTCTTCCTTCCTCACCCCTCGTTGAGTACTTCCTTTCCTTATTGGAGTGGTGTCACCTTGCATCTCTTGTCATTGTCAGCTTTTGTATGCTAGAACGATAGCAGTTTGAATGCCTTTTTCTTCCTCACTGTAAGGCTCTGTATCTATATGTATCGGTGAGGATAGCTGTCCTGCTGGCATCTCTGTACGACCTTATTGTTTAAACTAGTCCCTCTCTTCTATTATTGCTGTTTGTTCAGGGCCTCACACAATTTGATGATGATTGTGTGTTTTTTCTCTCTCCCTACAATCCTTGTGTGACAAGTTGTTTTGCCTCTCCTTAAGGTCCCCTCTTTAGCATCTGATACTTACCTCAGTTGCCTTGCTTCCTTCAAACAGTCTCTCTCTATGATCAAATGTGTAAGTGCTGTATGTTCATTGAGGCACGTCTCTTCCTTCCTGTTTTCCATCGTTATTTGAACAAATAAATATCTTTTGACTTTGGAGCTAAACATTTCCCTGCTCACTTTGCATTTGTTAAAAGTAAATTTTTCCAGGTTGAGACCCGTCCAGGGGGAGCTGTTTGCTTAGCATGGATTTTGTAAGTTTTGCTGCAGCTGCTCTGCGTAGTTCAGCAGTTTTACCAGGCGAATCATTCGACAGCTATTGGATAACTAATGCTCCTGTACAGTTCGGGTTGAAGTAAGTCCTAAAACGAGTACACGAATTTCTTTAAATGATATGATGGAATCTGATTGTTCTCACTGTTGTACTCTCTATTTTTTTGGGAAATTTTTGAAGAATTTAAGTGATCAGTAAATAAATAAATGAATGTCATTTAAATAATAAAGCATATAAAATTCACTTAGGTATTTCGTGTCATGTGAAAGATTCCTGCAACTCTCCCACAAATTCAATTCAATTTGATATTTCTAGGAAAATAAATTTGATTAGATCACGATAGATATTTCAGGGGTGTAAAATGCACGTTCCGTTTCGAAACAGCATTTGCAGATGCTGACGATGAAGCTAGTACATTGGTAAATTATTATTGAATTAACGGAAATCGGAGTTTAAATCCCATCATGTCTCTTCTAAAGCATAAAATTTTTCCCTTTCAAAATGTCCTTTTTCATGTTCCTTCTAAGACATTACATTTTTGAGAAAGACCACCATCATGGATATCTTTCCTTTGTCAAAACCAAGTTGCTATAATATAGCATAAAACTGGGATTTTTTTTTTTTTTTAAATCCCTTTTGATACAAATTTTTATAGTTTATTTGATACATAGGTAAATGGTGATAACCGTCACACCGTTTATATTCTTTGGGTTTCATCATGTGAAGATCCTTCATTGTTATACTCCTGTCGAATGGATTCAAAAATCGACAAAGTTGCACTTCGTTATGGACAACGTACACCATCAATCCTGAAAAGTATGATTGAGGGAGCAAATATGCCATCAGATGATCCAAGATTGTAAGTCCAAGTTCAAGACGGTTAAAAATTTAAAAGTCTGGTTTGAAGTTTAGTACAGCGATTATCAGTTAATTGTAAATTTGAAACTCTGTTTGAATGTTCAATTTTTTCAGTACAATGATTAACTTGATTGGTGAGCAAGAAATGGGTCTATTCATCCGACTTTGTATCACTCCTGGTGATGGTCCATCAGCACTACGGCTCGCTCTGCGCACTCCATCGGCAGCGGAATGGAAAAGTCACTTGTTGATGTTTATTCAGAATCTGCAGGTGGGCTATTTTCACTCTATTTCGAAATTTGTGAAGTTTGGCATGTAACTGAGTTTAAAATTCACTTTGCGTTTACGATAATGAACATAAACTTTTTTGTTGAATTTTCTTTCATTCCATTTCATATCATTTCGTATTTCTCAGTGTAATCCATCCGTGTTTTCACAGCTTTACAGAGATTATAGCGATTCTTTTGAGAGACGCTCGAGATGTGGATCTTCATTTTATTCCTTTTATGTATTGAAATTAATTCTAGTCAATGTGCTAAAGTGTCTGTTCCTTATCGGTTATTATTCATGAGAACAGAACATTGCCACCAGATTTTAAGTGTATGAGCTTCAGTTTAGGTGAATAAGTTAGGATTTCTTTCAATTTTCTTACTCGGATATGGCGTAGTATATTTCGAAATGTTTTCGATCTATTTGACTGGTATTTTGGTCTATAAATTATGAATGTTTGCATTTTTTTCATGTTAAATTGCTAATGATGTTTTTCTCATAAATATTATCTAACAATTTTTTGGGATTTGCAGAATGATTTGTGGAAAGAGCGTTGGCAGCGCGAATTGTTGGAAAAGGATGCACTGAGTATGAAATCTCAAATAGCGCAAGTTAGTTTCAGTACTGTTAATCAAATTTGTTTCAAACACAGTTCGCATTGTTCTATGATTTGACAGATTACTGTGAAGTTTTAGAATGTTTGAGTCTTGCAGAATGTTTTTATTTTCCGTTCAAGATATTTCCTTATAGAATATTTGCCTTTTAGACTGCAATTATTTCCTGTTACTTTTACTTTTACGGTCGGTGTTAAAAAAAAAAAAAAAAAAAATAGTTCGTTTGTTTTTCGACTCATTTTAAATTATTTTTAGCATTCTCCTTGGTTTAGGAGAGAATTCTCACATTTTTGTTTAATCTTGCTCACATTGTAGATGGAAAGAAAACGTGGTTGGCTTGAGAAAGAGCTGGAAATGTTGTATGCTCTGATGCAACAACAGAATCCGATGCAGTCTTTGAAAATTACGAATGAGGCTGAAGATTCTGCATCAAAAAAAGAAGTATCATTACTTCAACCAGTACCAACTCCTTCAACAGCTCAAATTGCTGATTCAGAAGAATCACCAAAGTTCAACATCGTTACTGTGCCACCAAAACGAAGTTCTCTGTCTTCTTCACTAACTTCTTCTGTACCTCTTAAATCTGGTCCGGTATGTCTAGTTTGCCTTCATTTCTTCTTTAAACGATACTTGCAAATTGTTAGAGTCACTTTGACAATTTTTACTTCTTTTGTAATCAGAGATTGTTATATTGTAAGACATTCGTACTGGAAATGTTTTTTTTCCTCCAGAGGTACATGACAAATGAGACGCTCCGTTGAGAAGTCACATAAAACTTGTAAAGATAAAGATCGAAGTTTTTGATATTTCGTTGGTTCTTAAGAATATAAACTAAACAACTTTGATCTTTCCAATATTTAAAAACGATTGGCCGTTATTTGTTGATCTTTGATTTTTGTCGCAGTTATTTAAGAATGTGAAAAAAAAGCGGGCAATTCGGAATAAAGATGCATTAGCCAATGATGACTTACTGATGGGTGTCGCTTCGCTTCTTGCTTGTGCAGTGTGTCCTGATGAAGTAACATTACAAGACCAGGATGGAATAAAAGAGCATTTCATAAATCAGCACCTAGACGGTGGTAAATTTGTATTCTTTAGCAAGTAAATATAGGGAAATTTCTATTTAATATTTTCATGAAATTGGAGTTATGAAAAAATGTCTTCATTACGCTGAGATGGAAATTTGTTTTGAATTTAATCAATTTTACTACTGTTATCCTGGGATGGAAAATCTGATCTATGATAAGTGTATTTGACCGTGATTTCGGTTCTAATTTCAGAACAAGGCCGCTGTAGAGCTTGTACAGAAGAGGTTAAAAGCGGTGATATGCTGAGTCACATGAAAGCACATCTGGTTAAAAAGTACGCTTGTGAATTTTGTGGAAAGAAGGGAAGGAAGCATTATTTGAAGGCGCATATTCGTATTCATACTGGAGAAAGACCTTATAAAGTTTGTTTTTGGTGTTTTGTAATTAATTTTTTTTGTTTTGTAATTTTTTTCTCGATCGACTAACACATTGCATGATCGGGTTTCTTATGATGAATTGCTTATAAATTGTGAGGAGAATATAGGCTGTTAAGTTGTTTTGAAGAAGTAGAGATAGATTAGGCATAGTAAACAGCTTAATGAAGTCTTTTAAAGATTTTTTCTTTAAAAAAAAAAAATGAATCATCAGAATGCTCAAAAATTTCTGGCTAAAATAGAGTGATATGTAACGGAGGAGTTTTGAAGGCAAACTTCCCGTCTTATTTGCTATAGATGATTAGTTTATGTGATGATATTTCGTTGATAATGAATTCATAAATGAAAGTCCTCAGCACTGCTTTCTTATAAGTTGCGTAACATGCCTAAATGCAAATTGTAATTAAACAAAGCATTCTGCATTAATTTGTTTAAAAGACTTTACTTCTTTTTTATAAACTGTTTGGTTTTCTTACGTGATCTCTCGTAAGTCAACCTGTATTTAATAATGAAAGGTGCTTGAATTTTGAAGTGGTTCAACTTTTGATCTTCTGAGCGACATAGTTTTCCACGTTCATGTTCTTTCATGCACTACTATATTAATGAAATAAACCTGGTAATCTTGTTTTGCTAATTCACTTTTACTTTTTATTTATATTTTCAAAACAACAAACTTTTTTTATTTAATTTTTTAACTTGCAGTGTGACAAATGTCCACGACGTTTTGCGGACTCATCTACGTTTCGCCGTCATCAGTTGATTCATACTGGTGAAAAACGATATTCATGTCCGGTATGTGGACGTTGTATAGCTCGAAAAGATAATGTCAAGACACACTTAAGGAGCCATGTGAAGTAAGTTTGCAGGGAGATTGGTATAGTATTTTACAAATTGAGTAATGTGATATAAATTGCAAGATTTTTTGTAATTTCGAACTTTTGCAATACTAATTGAGTGGCCAGTAAAAGGATCCATGAAGTACTGCGATACTTTTTTGAGCTGCTAATTTTATACAACTTATCAGATACAGGAATAATTCAACACTGGAATCCCCAACTGTTTTGGAAAAAACTTGCCGGAGCTTCTTTAAGTCTAGTTTCTTATTTTAGGACTATTTCCAACAGTGAAAGTGAAGCAGCTGCCTGGATGGAAACCCTCTTAAATTCGTTACCTAGTAAAGCAGAAAGGAATGCAGTGGCTGTACCACCGCTAGATTCACCAACTTCTGTGGAAAACAGTGATGATCAAAATTTGTTAGGTGATTTTAATTTGTTAAAATCTCTAAAAGAGGAAGAAGTGAGTGATAACAGCTAGTTATTGAATTAAATACATAGATTTAAAAATGTTGTTGGAACTTTGCCTTTACAAGCGCCATGTGTTTTTTGATTTCTTCATGTCACTTGGGCTATAAATACTCTAATGTGATTTCACTCTATGGACAGCAAACAGCGAAAAGGGAATAGTTAATGCATAAACATTCGTCTAGATTTGGTTACTATCGTCTAGATTAGCAAGTGTTTTGTATACTATTGATAGGAGAGAAGCTTCTTTCTGTATCACGTACGGATTTTTTTTTTGGAAATTACTGCCTTTGATTTTTTTGCCTTGTTTAATTCTGATTGTGCATTATGAACGTATATCCATCTATAGCGGACTTTTTTCAATCATTTGTAAATAAATTTTTGTACTTCTATCATCAATTCTTAAAGTGTACTTAATTTCATATTTCCACTTACTCTTTTCAGTTATTGTAATTTCAAAGCTCTTGGTTTTGTCGCCTTAAGTTTTTTTTTTTTTTTTTCAGGTTCACTGATTTTCGGGGATAGTCCCTGTTTCATGTTTTTTTTTTTTTTTTTTAATGAAGTTTAGTGTTCTGTTGGTTTGTTTTTTCTCTAGTAACCGGATGATGATTTCATTGGTAGAGGATAACTGCGAAAATAAAAGAGGAAAGTTTAGAATAGAATATTTGGGGTTACTTCCAGCCCTCTTTATTTTGCGTGTAGAAATCGATCGGAATTTTTGAAGTTTTGTTATTTTCCTGAGATCCGCTAGCCATTATTATTACAAAAGTTATCTAGTATTTATGCAATTCCTCATTATGCTTCATCCTATTAATTTTCTTAGCATATTGTTTAAAATTATAGAGATCTGGTTGGGTCATCAATGCCTCCATAGAGACATGTTTTTTTCTAAACATGTTTTTTTTTTTTTGTTTTCAGTATATATAGTTGGTGCTACCAATGCCTTGTATTTTATCATCAAGATATGACTATTTTTCATATGCCTTGTGTAAACGCTAAAAATGATTTAGCCTTATACGTTTAATATAAGCATTGTTTATTCTTTCTTTTTTCTTTTTTTTTTTTTTCAAGGTTGTTTTGAACAGAGTTTTCTCAGTTATTTTTTATAATGTGCTTTATCGTTTTTAAATTACTCAACTTGTTACCACTTAATCGAATTTTGTATTATGGAGCATATGATTTTTTTTTTTTAATATAAATTTAAAATTTAGTTCAAGACACATTATCAGCTGAGTCAGTATTTGCTCATAAGCTTCAAATGAAGATTTTCTTTTCGAAAATTGTTTGCCACATTTTCATGCCATAGAGGAAGAGTTGATTGAAGAGTAGCAAAATCAACTAAAATGTACCAATAAAATTTCAAATTTGCAGATGTTTCCAGAAGAGATATTGCTAGTTTTGCTAATTTGGTCATCAAATAAGAACAGTTAAAGGCAGCTAATACTGGTTTTCAGGATAAACTTCTGCTTACAAGTATTGCTCATTAAGAAAGAAAAAAAAAAAAAAAAAACGTAATAAATATTCCTGTGTTGTAATCGTTTGTGTTGTGAAGCACTCTGCATGGTATCATTTTTCATTCTTTTTGCCTAATTCCAGCACCAGTACCTACCTATTCATTCATTCCTCCTTTATCGTTCTGCATCTTTGCACTTCATTTTCACATACTTTTAACTTAATGGAAAAAAGACTGCATTCTTCATGACTAATAATGAATGCAATGAAACAAATGAGACAGATATTTTTTCAAAAAAAAAGCCGAAGCAAAAGCTATTAAATGGATTGAAGTTAGAAATGACTAATAGACTGACTTATTGATAGTAGGTAAAATATGTAATTGAAGGTTAACTAGCAAATTATAGTATTGATTGATATGATCTTTTAATTGCATTGATTAGTGTAATCTAGTTCAGTAACTTACAAAAAGTTTCTGATAAGAAAAAAGAAAAAATCGTGATTTAAATTGCAGAAATCTTCACTTAAAGAAATTTTATAAAATGGGTGCCAATCTGGACTTATCGCTAACCGCTGATCTACCAAATCAAAATACGCTCATAGTGTTGCTCACTGAGATGATGTATGTCTTACTTTTTTCCTGTGTTTTTGGATATTTTAGGTTAGACGTTTCTGTTAATGTTTATATTTAGATGATAATTTTGATTTTTTTGAATTATATCATAGAATTTATCATTTCATGAAGTCATATATTAAGATAATTTACTCTGTCATCTTGATTAGTGTCCGCGTCAACTATGTTGATGATTGATGTATTTTTAGAGATACATTTTCAGTAAAATGATGCTCATGAAAGGAAATTAGAATGTTTTCTTTCATTCACATAATGTTAAATGTGGAAGATTGCTACTTAAAAAAAAAGAAAAGAAAGTGGGAAACTTGTGCAAATTAAGCCACAAGACCCTTTTTATTACGGTTACAAAGTAATTGTAAACAAATATTGCTTTTTTTAGGTTTATGTATTTTTCGAATTCATTCTTTATTTTCATCTCCTAAATGATTTGTGAGATTTTTATTCAAGTTTTTCATCCAAGGTATTTATCTCATTTTGTAACAGGAATTTCCAAAATGGACTCATTGCACGTCTTCAAGAAGTGGATGGATATTATTCATCTCAACTGATATCAAAAATTAATAATACAGTAATAATTTTTTCTTTTTTTGGTATTTAAAGAGGAATGAGAGTTAAAATGGAAAGAGTAAATGTATTTTTACAGTGACAAAGTATGCGAAAAATTGAACTTAAGTATCATTCATTTCTTATTACATTTTGTCATGTTGATTGATACATATGAGTCATACAAATGTATCTTTTAATTCGTTGATTTATTTTTTACTTCTTGAAAGAAGTTCCATTTATACAGGAAATACATTTAAGAGAGCAAGAAAGTAAATACACCGAAATGTTTTGCAGATGGATAAAATGCATGAATATTCTCGACGTCTTCAAATGCTATATCGTAACATTTTGGAATTAACGAAACGAGTACGACTGATGGTATCACGAGTGCAAGCACTAAAGGAAGACTGAAGTAATTGCATTTTTTAGCAATGTATTAATTGCTCATCGAATACCAATTTTCAGTGATTTGATATTAGCTTTTAGGCATTTTCGTTAAATTGATCGTATGATGTGGATTCTTTAGTCTTGGATTGTGATTTTTAGATTTTTTTACATTTTGATGTAATATAATATGCATGAAATTTGGTAATTTGTGATTTATTTAATAACATACATGTGGCAAAAAAAAATTTCTCACATATTCGTCCTAATGATTGATTTTATCATTTCTTTTAATTTTTCCAAATTATTTTTCGCATATTATTCTAGTTTTAGTGAAGCCAAATTTTGATTTTTTTTTTCCAAAAAATTCTGTTGCAGATTCATTAGTATTTGTATGTATGTTTCGTTTTTTGTTACAAGATAATTTATTTTACCACAAATTTGACTTCAGTAAATATTTTCTTTTTTTTTGATGTTTTAAAACTTTAATTTCTTTTTTAGTTACAGTAAGGTTCAAAACCATAAAAATTTAGAGGAGAGTCTGGAAGTTTAACTTTACTGTGAGAAATTTTTGATTACTTACAGAGCTTTTTGATATTTCCTTCCGTTCAGTTTCCAAGTTTATTATTATTATCACTATTATTATTATTATTATTATTATTATTACTCTCACTATTACTGTTATTATTATTGTTATTATTAATATTGCAGTAATAAAACTTGAATTTTAATATACTCTTTACAAAAACATTGTTAGAATGTATTTACAAATGTTGAAATAATTTGCTTTCATCAGTGCATTCTAGTAGCATTTGTATGGATGATAATGCTGCATCTGTATAGATATTCCCAATGATATTCAAAAATTTACACGGATTTAAAAACATTGCTAGAATGTACTACAGTTAAATCTTTAATGTATTTAGCTGCGATCAGTCTAAATATTGATGTCGAAAAGTGAACTGTTCGAAGTTTCAATTACAAAATTCCAACTGCAAAATATTTTAATTACAAAATTCTCAGATTGAATGGTTAATTATCAAGTTGGCTAGCATATGCTGTCATTTGTTCAATTTGCTTATAGCTTCGGAACTTATGCTCTATCTGATAACTGCGAGATTTATTTTTATTTTATTTTTTCTCGAATAATCAAAGTTTTGCGAAACTATTCTTTAATATCACACAATATCTAAGTGACTATTCTTTATGAGGAATTTTATGTATTTTTATCACAATTTCAAACAGAGCCATCAATAATTTCATTCATTCAATTTCAAAATGTTTATGGAATTTACAATTTTCCGTTCCACATAAATTTACAAAATTCTCTCACTGCAAACTATTTCTTCTTTGTAACTGAATAAAAGTCAATTTAAATAGTTTTCGAAGAGAGAGATGAGACAACACTGGCAAGTCTTATTCAATATGCTCTCACCTGCTGTTAACATCAAATTTTAGACTGCAACTGCAGCTGCAGCAGTAGCAGTAGATGGAGCACCAACAGAGTGCAACAATAGCATTAGCAGCATGCAATGTGCATGTCATTCTGCAGTAACAGCATTGCAGTTGTAATGTTGCTGTGTTTGCTGCATCACATATGTATTCAATACCTACCACCCCGTAGAAATAGGAGAAGAGATGACGATGATGAACACTCACAACAATTTTACATTTGAACTATACTGCGGGTAGCATACGGGTAGCAGTAGGCATTTTGAGGGTATATTGCATTGGTGGAGTAATCACAGACTGACAAACAAAACGGAAAGACAGACAAAATTGAATTGAACTGATCGACAAATCAACAAAACTAAAGCAAAATCATTATCACCTTCTCCTCCTTCTACTCCCTCTCTCTCTCTCCCTCCCTCTCTACCTGCTATCCTTTAATTTTTCCTACAATCAACAATTCTACCGGACGAATATCACATTTTTCTCTTTCTCTTTTAACTCTACGAAATTTATTGAACAAAAAAAAAAAAAAAAAAAAGAAAAAAAAAAGAGCTACTTTTTATTATTACCTCTACATTTTCTATTCCCAAACAAAAATACGACGAAGACGACCGAACGAAGACGCGCATTCATCGACATCATTAACGCGTTATCACTTGTTATCATTGTGTTATCACTTATTCATTATCATTTTCTCTCTTGTCAATATTACTGGTATTGATACCGTAAATTTTTTGCGAACCTACTGAATTTCTCACCTAATAAAACAAGGTATATCTTTTTATCTTTTTTCATTATCATTGTTTTTTAATTTTATTATTATTATTTTAAATTATTTTTTATTATTTTTAGTTATAATCATCATCATTATTTTTTTTTCTATTATTCACTGCTTATGATTTATTATTTATTATTCGCTATTTATTAATTATAATTATTTATTATTATTTATTGGTTATTATCTATTGCCTATTATTCATTATTTATTATTTACCATTTACTATTTGCTATTTACCATCTACCATGTGTTATTTATTATTATTATTATTATTATTATTATTATTTATCATTTATTATTCATCATTCATTATTAATTGATTATCATTGTTATTGTTATAATTATTCGCCTTATTAACAACAACAGTGTTCCACTACCTACTACTATTTAAATTTATTTAGGACATCATCATTTCCTGTCACATTAAGTGATTACTTGTGATTGATCCATTTACAGCAGTTTTAATTTTCCACGATGAATACATCGACTTATTCATACGAAGCAACGCCATTTTCAAACGATTGGTTCAATGCGAAACATATGGGCCAACAATCTGAGCACCTTTCTGTTGGTGTGTTTTACGATGTTTTTTTTTTTTTTCGAATTCATTTCAATTTTAATCCCTTAGATTTGTTACAAATAATATTATGAATAAAAGAAAATTGGACAATAACTTAAGATTTGATAAATGATCATTAATTTTTATTTTTCTTTTTCAAACTTAATTTTTCAGTATAATACGAGAGATCAGAGGTTAATCATTTTACTCATATTTCAGTCTCAAATGTATTACTTTAGTATTTCAAATCGTTAGAAATTTCAAACATTGCAAAAAAAAAAAAAACATTTCATGTTCATTTCTTTTGTTTTTCTTCAGCTATCATATCAGTTTCTTTCTTTTTATTTTTATTTTATTCAAAAATTAAACATACAATATACACAAATTATAAATTCTTTTTTTCTGTTAATTTTTTTTCGACAATTTCAGAATTTTTATGGAAGAGATGTTGAAGGGCAGAGTAAGTAGATTCTTTTTGTTGTTTTGGATTAGATAAATTCTATATGAGATGAATTTAATACTTTTGATATATGCTTCATTTATCAATCATTTGGAAGCATTCTCATTAAGTTTGAATCATTATAAAATTTAGTAATTATTTAATCTTACTAAAATATATTGTGAATTTAATACGATATGATATGATATGATAGTTTGGATGAAAATATCATATGAAATATAAAATATTTAAAATTTTTTTAATATTTAATAATAAAACATTCGAGTTTTTGATGTAATATATCAGTTATTTTTTTTTTTTTTCAGCGATAGATAATGTAGTAATAACTGAATTGGGTATCAACTAAAAGTTGTAAAATGCATCATACAAACTATTTTGTTCATTTAAAAAAAAAAAAAAAAAAAGAAACAAAGCAATTTTGGGACCAGTTTTGTTATAGATAATTTTAATTCATTTTCTCGCAAAAGTTGAGTGGAAAATTTTTGATCATTGCTTCTTTCTTCTTTCTATTTTAATTTGTTTAAATTTTTTTTTTTTTTGAAATTAAAAATAGCTGAGTAGCTGACTAACTGAGTAATTAAAAATGAGTAGACTAAAAATAGCTGACTTATGAAAAGTTTCCTTTTTATATAGTAATATATTACTATTACTATTATTATTATTAAATAATAATAGAGTGAATCGTTTTATTACTTCCTCTCTAATCAATTAGCATCATTATCTTATCAATATAACAAAATGATAAATCATTATCTTATCAATATAACAAAATGAGGAAAATAAATGGATTTCAAAAAAATTTACGAGTAATAATTTGCTTAATGAGTCATTTCAAAAGTAGAATTTTTTGAATATAATGAATAAATAATGAAGTACATTTGATAATTTTTCTAGAAGATTGTTAGTTGTTAAAATTAGTAGAAATTTTAGGATATTAGAAAATTGATTTATGCATTATTAATTATCAGTTACAAATTTCTTAGCTAATTTCTTAAAATTCTGATCTCGCAAATACTAAATTGATTGAAATGAATTTTATTTATTAATTTGTTCACTAAATTTATTAATTTGATTAATTGATTGATTTTTCGCTAAATTTCTTCCAATAATGTTTTTTTTTTTTTTTTTTTGACCTTTTTTCCCAAAGAGAAAAAATTTCTGCATACCTAAATTTCTTCATAAATTTCAAATTGTTTTATTGCAGAAGAAAAAATTGGAATATAACCTGTAAATAAGTATTAGTGTTACTCATATTTACAAATACATGAAAAATTTGTTTCTATAAATTATTTTGAAATAACTATCATCAAAAAGTAATTCAGTTCTTTAATGCTTATTTCATATCTATTTAAAAAAAAAAAGAAGTGTTAACTCCAAAGCAAATATAGAATTATTCAATAAGGTATTCTTTATCATTAATGAATTTTAGAATTTCATTGTTAATTCGTCACATTTTTATATTAATAAGAATAATTCAAGCGATTGTTGTACACATTAATGAATTTCTTTACTTCAATTCCTTTTATCATTTTATTTGATCCAATTTGAAAAAAAAAAAAAATTTTTTTTCATAATTTTGATGACGAATTTGTGGAATTTAGATGGGAAAGAAGAAAAAAATGATGTGAAATATTATTTATTATATGATAAATGAAATAATTGTATGCATGGAATCACTGATTTCATTATTTGTGAGAATTAAAATTTTTTGCGGTCAAATTCTTCATTTTACATGTAATTTTTATAAATTTCTAAGAAATTTTTTTTTTTTTTTAATT